ACAACATTCTTCCGCAACCTCTTTATGAAACCGGTTTCGGTTTGAAACCATAAAAATAACAAAAATACGCTATCTTGTCACTTTAAAGCATGTAGGACGTGGGTAATATACCATAAAAAGGACACTCGTTTCGTATAATTCGTATGTAATGAAACCTCATGTAGTATTCTCTATATACCTCACGAACTAGAAGACAGTTCATTAAAAACTTTTACAAAAATCAAGGAGTAACTAATTATAATTATATAACTCATACCAAAAACTTGGGTTACAATGAAGAAAATGCTAAAAGCATATCTACACAAACCTATTGCTAAATAGCCATCGGCTCAAAATGCAATCTTCTCATAGTTTACTACCAAAGTTTATTCCTACACACATTTAACATGTAAGTCATAGCTGTTCAATTACGAGTGTGACAAGGAGTATGAAACCAACACACATTGAAAGTATTTTCCTCTTGTGTTTCTCTGCCCTATTTAACAGTGTAGAACCCATGCCATTTAATGTTATAGATAAACAAATATTGTACTTGTCTACCACAGCCTTAGGTAACCAACTGGTAAGATTCTGGACTCAAGGAGTCTGACAGACTACCTGCTTATTAGGCTTGGCTACTATCCCTGAGGGACGGGGTCAAGATACAATGCTTAAGACTAATTTAAAACTGTCATAGTAAATTTCAAACAACACTTCAACATGTTTACCATGGTGTCAACTCAAATGTCATTATCCAGATGACTGACTGACTGAGTTTGGTTTTACGCCGCTTTTAGCAATATTCCAGCAACATCACGGCGGGGTACACCAGAAGTGGGCTTCACACATTGTACGCATGTGGGGATTCGAACCCGGGTCTTCGGCATGACGAGCCAACACTTTAACCATTAGGCTACCCGTTGTCCCTTATCCAAATGATGACAGACAATGAGCCAAGTTGCACAGAAACAATGTCTCATACATGAAGATGACACAACTTTACAGACGACGGACATCTGACTGAATTTTCCCTTCACCAAAGCATATTAAGGTGGACAATTTTGTGATCATGGTAATAGTGGGGGTTTTCCCAAGGCACCAGTGAAGACATCATAATACTAACATTATCGAATATCGACATCACTTATGGTCTCAGAGTGAGTGAGTATGGTTTTACGCCTCTTTTAGCAATATTCCAGCAACATCACGGTGAGGGACACCAGAAATGGGCTTCACACATTGTACCCATGGGGGGAATAGAACCCGGGTCTTCGGCGTGACGAGCAAACGCTTTAACCACTAGGCTACCCCACAGCCCCAAATTTGGTCTTAGAGTTTAGATTGAAATGAGCTGACATTGTGATGGATTCTGATCAGGCGTTATTGCTGTTAAACCACCTATGTTAGATTAATGTAGGGGACATGTGACAGCCTGTGAGACCTTACAACTTTGATGACCCACAAGATGGAATGGAGTGACAAACCAATAATCATAATGAGGTACACTGGGTATTTGAACCTGATCCTGGCACTTCTAAGGGAGGTAAATAGTCAGACAATAAGACACAATCCAGTACAATGAAACAACAGTGTTTGGAATAAAGTGCCATCATGAGGTCCTTGTAGCTCTGATGGTATTTAAATCTATGAACCCCTAAAGCTACAGGTTGTACATTACATGACAAGTACCCCTTGATTTACAGGCATAATGTCTAGCACTGAATTAAGAAATGACTATATTCCATCTGGAATTTGAACCCACACTCTCAGAGTCAGGCACCTAATCGCCAGCAAGTTGAACCCAACTCACTGATATATATATATAATATATCAGGGCTCGATTGAGTGCTTTGGTACTTGGACTAGTGCAATCCAATATTACAAAGTGCAACTTAGTTATTAGTCTAACTTGCACCAGGTCAATTTTTTAGTGGGTAAACTTCTAAATTAAACATCTAAATAATTTAATAGCATATTTCTTTCATTACATCTTGCCATTAAAGCAGTGCAACTGGAATATGGCTGGTGCAACTAGGTTTTTATCTTAGGTTGCACTTGGTGCAAGTAGGTTAACATATCTTAAATCGATCCCTCTGTATAGCTGGAATATTGTTAAGCACAGTATTAAACAACACACCAACCACTCACACACTTAACATGCTTAAGCCCATTAAATGCCTGAAGTTAAACCCAACTCACTCACTCACTCAGCTAACATGTGCAAACAAAGCTGGCATCAGTTTCTGTATATACCATGTACACAACTGCAGAGATACAAAGTATTCTTAATTATTACAAACTAATTATTTTTATTATTGACTTGTGATGAGTGCATTTCCTCAAAGAATATGTGTCTTCTACTTCAAAGTGTTCCTGTGTCACGTTCAAGAACACATGACAGCTCACATCTGTGAAGCTGAACATCAGTGGGCTGTGTCTACTGAATGGACAGGTCAGATCCCACAGTACACTCACGCTTCCTTCCCTTCAGACACAGTTAGGAAGATCTTTTCATGTTTATAGAACACAATGTTGTGACCAAAAGCAATGATCGGTTGCTAAGACAACAATAGCCTACATATCTTGTGTTTACTAATTAACATAATTTGAATGATCATAGTCCACTGATCATTAGTAAATAGGGAGGACTGTCATATTGTAATCGAGACTACTTTTACCGTTAGCATATGAATAGGTAGCAATATTCTATCAGAGCTCCAGATAAGATTTAGCTCATGTGGGTACTGTACCCACTGTATTTGTTTGGAGTGGGTATTATGAATGTTGAGTGGGTATTCATTTTCCGTTACCCACTGCTTTCAAATATGTGTATTTCAGTCATTTTACCTAAGTATTATGTCATTGAGTAAGTTTACTAAGCACGTATGTTCTGCCTTATGTCATACCTAATCAAAACCAACTTAAATATAATGGAAATGATTTCATAAAAAATCACTCATCCTATACTGACAGTACAACACCAGTCCTATACTATCAGTACAACTTGATAGCAATCAATGTCTTTTTCATTACGCAAGCGATTTTTACAAATATATTCCGTAAGCATTTGTTTTAAACTTTTTGCATATCTAACATTTTAAATGCGTAATTGGTACGCAACAATTATTTTTCAATGCGTAAATGGAAATTGTCTATGCGTATTTTACCCGGATATGCAGCTTATCTGGGCCTCTGATTCATTAGCAGATCATTAAACATGTCGATTAATGTGGATTTACTGAGTGAGTAAGGTTTTATGCCATTTTAGCAAAATTCCAACAATATCCATGGCCTGACACCAGAAACAGGCTTTACACATAACCCTGGTCTTGAATCAAAACCTGGGTCATTGGCATGACGAGGAAGCGCTCAAACCACTAGGCTACCCCCCGCCCTGTTTGGACTTGTGAAAATACTTATAACTTTTTGCCCTGTTTAACAATATTAATCAATGTTCATGGTGTAAAATAGCCTGTCACCATTTGTTCAGAAACCATTCACTGGGACTACAACTTGTGAAAAGAACCTAAAAAATATTCCTACTCAGGGGTGGAAATAACCCATTGCCTGACGTCCGAGTCCAGTGTTTTTTTCTGTTGGGCAAGCAAATTTGTATATCACACTGTACCGGTGTCCAGTTGACTTTCCAACATTAATTATGTTGTTTATTTAAAAAATCAACAAGAAAACGGCCGGTATAGTGGAAAACTTATCAGGGCAAGTGATTTTACATGTGCCACTGTACCGGAGTAGACTAGCAATTTTTAAGTTATTTCCACCCCTGCTACTACCACAATAACCTACCATAGTGATAGATACTACAATCCCAGTGATCAGTCTCCAGTGGTCAGAATGTTTCATTATGAATGGGACACAACTATAGAGATAAAACATATGTTCCACTAGTATATGCTTCACTCCTTCCACATCTATTATCATGATTCAATATATTTTACCAGGAGAATGCTTACTGAGGCAACAAACAAACACAGTTATGGAAGTTTGAGTCTTACTACAGACAAGCACCTTTCCCCTGTTGGTGTAGTAATACAAGACAAAATCTTATGGATAACAACTTCTTGATTTATTATTTACACAACATTACACAACGTTACACAACGTTACACAAACAATGTTGTGTAAATAATAAATCAAGCAGTTGCTATCCATAAGATTTGTCTTGTAAGACAGGTATTGGCCAGTAAGGGAGTACTGCACTTTACCGGGTGCACTTTTTCAGATTAATTAACGCTGCTGGGGTTCCCTAACCCTAACCCTAAGGATCGTAAAGGGTGCCTAACCCTAAACTCTAACCCTAACCCTAAGGATCGTAAAGGGTGGCATACCCTTACCCTAACCCTAAGGATCGTAAAGGGAGCAGCGAGGGCTGCGCCCGGTAAAGTGCATTCTAGCCGCCAGTAATTCAACTTATTGCCATGTTTGTGTGTGATGGTTGACAATGACATCCACTAACTTCCTTATAACCCCGATTTTGTGTGAAATCTGTCGTGCTATCAATATGAATATCAAGGCATTTGGCAATAAACAGTAATATGAAAACTGTCATGTGCTAAGAAGTTTGAGATAACTTGCCACTGTACAAGTGAACTTTCTAAACATATCCACAGACTAGGCAAGTTTACATACCATGACCATGATTGGCAATCACTCCATGCATATTGCCTGGTTGAGCAAGAAAACCATATACCATGTTACCTAACAAATTGCCTCCATATAATGACCAACTCAGTAGTAACTAATTATCACTGGAAGTTCTAATGAAAGTGTAGGAAACCATTCGTGTATAGTCTCATGGTCTGAATGATGTGATCAAACAGATGATCAACCATATTTACTTGTCTTGACAATATTACAAACGTCACTCCTAAAATCACCAGTTATATGGCCACGAAAGGGAGACAACGATTACCACACTAATTGACGTTCATAATGAGATAACTGACAGTAAATGTCTGTTAGCTTGTTTTAATATACCTAATAATAACTACTGATGGACTTACCTTCTTCGTCCATAACATTTCTCGCACCTTTCCCCTGTCCACCCTCGCACACATTCACATTTACCACCGACACACTTGCCCTCGGAACACCCTCCTTGTGGGCATGTTGGTGAAGTACACACTACGTATTCAAATAAAAGATCCTGAAGAATTAATAACATCAACAGTAGTCCACATAGATTCATTTTTCGTTTTGACTTCCTTTCCCGTTTACATACCAACACCAAAGTGTCGGCCATCTTTTGTAGACTCTCCGACTATTTCCGTGATTTTCCGTAATCGGGCACCTGCTAAGGGAATCGTCTCCCTTTAGGTATTTTACGAAAGCTTCTACCACTAGAGGCTTGTGATATGCAAACATTTTCAGCTACCATGAATGAAAATAACGGCTATGAGTAAGTTGATTTCTTCCAGAAATCGTTATGAATGTGCATGAATAGAGGTAATAGTTACATACTACAAGAAGGATAATTACTCATCAGGTGTTAAAACTTTCCCTGTCATGTGCGACTGGATCGGCGTAGATATACGGTTTTATCTGTGTCAGATTCAAGTGGGTGAAAAGTCCAAATATGGAACTGAAACCTGGATCATTGGACTCTGCATTCCCTGAAAGAACTCCTGCACAGACAAGGGTCCATCCATGCCACTGTCTACCCCCTTGAAGTTGGATTCCCCTCTTAACGAGAGGAAAGTTTGCTAATATTGGTTTTTACCGCCCAGAGAAATCAAAGACAAAACTCATCAGTGGGAGATATATTGGCTTAGAACCTAAGACTGTGTTAAATTTAGTTATCTAGGATGATCATTGAGGGTATGTTTTAGACTGACATAATCATCGGAGTATATCAATATAAATATTATCCACAAAAAATCACACTTTATCCACAAAATTCATGAGCACCATCAACAAATATGAAGAAATACTAATTTACTTTAAGTTTTAAAACCTAGGTACACCTACAGAATACCGGATACGTACCAGCTATATTGTTTAGTGTCACGTCACCCTAACTTTAATGCTAACCCTAAACCTTACCCTTACCCTAACCCTAACCAAAAGTAAACTCGCGTGCTTTCAAAGATGGCGGAAGGTATCCGGTATTTTGTAATCTTATCAAAACCTAATATTGAAACAAGATGTGAGTGAGTGAGTTTAGTTTTACGCCGCTTTTAGCAATATTCCAGCAACATCACGGTGGGGGGACACCAGAAATGGGCTTCACACATTGTACCCATGTGGGGAATCGTACTTCGGCGTGACGAGCGAACGCTTTAACCGCTAGACTACCCCACCGCCCCGAAACAAGATGTGATGTCAATCTATATAGACTACATGTATATTCTCTATGTGAAGTGATATCTTGTGATATTTCCTATTACATGAAGATATAAATACAGTGTTTCCATGACTCAGATGTCATATTGAGTCTGTTGTCTAATGATAAGGTTTGCGAAGGCGCGTAAACTACACCAAGACCCGTCTGCCTGAGTAGCGATTAGGCGTAGAATATTCAATATATCTTTCCGCTGCCCACTAAATCCTATCTAAACGCACGGCGATATTGTGCAAGGACCTCAGGTCAATTACAAAGTCTGTTTGGTGTAATGAACAGTATAATGACGATACTCGCTGGGCATATTGGTCATATCCTGTTGCGGTCAGTGTCTGTAGCAGATGAGAGCTGGCGTCACTAAATGACCAGACGGTGAGTGAGTGAGTGAGTGAGTGAGTGAGTGAGTGAGTGAGTGGTGAGTGAGTGAGTGAGTGAGTGAGTGAGTGAGTGAGTGAGTGAGTGAGTGAGTGAGTGAGTGAGTGAGTGAGTGAGTGAGTGAGTGAGTGTGAGTGTACTTTTACGACGAGTATTTATCAATATTCCAGCAATATCACGGCGGGTGACAACAGAAATGGGCTTCACACATTGTACCCATGTCAGAATAACGCTTAGTCTCTGAATATATATAATTTTGATTGTAACAAATAAACCCATTTAATTGAAAAGGAGCCCAGGCAGACCAGAGATCCTGAACTTGAGGAAATCTAGACTTGCTTCATTTAGGGCTTTAGCATAGGGAGGGCTGGGCTGCAGGAAAATAATGTTGTTCGGGAACTGGGAATAATAAAACCCGAGTCTTCTGCGTGACGAGCTAACGCTTTAACCACCTCTAGGCCACCCCGCCGCCCCGGATGGACGGATCGACAAGGCGGTCATTGCAAGACTGAAATTCAGCTTATTTTGATGGCTATTAAGGCCATATATCATATTTATCTCTTGAACAGTGTCCGAATACCCTCAAAATATCAAGAAAATATCTCACACAGAGAACTAATTTAAGAGAATATCGTCACTAGAGCGGAGATAGTCGAGTAAATTGCAGGGAATATCCTCGGTTTATTTATAGCGTTATTCACTTTAGGTTGTGGTGTAATTATCTCCCTTAGACAAGATTCAACATGGGTTCCGTAAGTTGTTTCCTGCACGTGGGCATATGTAAAATCTTCGTTTTTAATGGATTTCTGAAATGTCTGTGTATTTCGCTCAATGTGTTAGTGTCAATATATGAATAGATTGCTATCACTGACTCGTATGTTGTCGAATACATACCGTAGTTGAATTAAAGCTACGTTTGTATGTTGCCACTTCGATCTTAGCTTCTGTTGCATGACAAATAGACTAACAACAGTCTCTGAAATTAAAATATTTTACAGAAAAAAGTTAGTAAATTTTTTTGGTATATATAATGAAAAGGAGCCAAATCTATACTTGTCACATTTTCTAGACTTGCGTGGGCTTTCTTGGACATATTTGCTTCAGGGTCTGTATAACAGACTACATGATAAAGTAACCAGTCCCAGTTTTAACGAAGCCATCATTTAACATCAGCATGTGCTATATATATTTAAAGAAAGTACTCAATATGGGCATCGCATTTTCTTGCCTTTTAAATCCTTCAGACGGGGAGGATGGGGTGGAGGTGGGGCATGCTATATGCAAGTAATGCCATACTGGTTACTATTGTTTGGGGATAGTGAACGTTCTTGGTTAATTTCCATCATGAGGCCTCCATTCCTGTTAGCAAACTGCTGTCTTTCCACCAACCATTTACCTTTTACTATTGTTGATGACATTTAATAAACAAAGTTTCAAACAGTCAAGTCAAGAGTCTTGATGCATTTCTGTGATCATAGTTATGTATAAATATGTTTAATATATTTTGATGGTACAGGATAAATTTGTGTTATTAACATGGTAAAGTGCAGTTGAAGAAATCATTTGGCCCTGTTCTCTTTTTCAGAAAAAGAAAGGTAAAGGTGGGAAAACAAGCTCAAGTAAAATAGCCAATAAAAAGAACAACAAGCTGCTGAAACAAGGCAAAGTAAAGAAACAGAAACAGCTGCAAATAAGAAAGCAGAGGAAGGGTGTACGAGAAGCAGCAGCAAGAGGTCACATCATCAAAAAAGAGGAAAAAATCACAGAGCAGGAAGTTGAGGAAGACCAGAATGGGGAACTTGACAGGAGAGATATCAAATTTTTCATGTCAAAGGGGCGAGATCTTTCATTTGCCAATTTACCTAAACAGTAAGTTGACTCGTTACTTTGTATGCTCAATAGTTCACTTCATCACTTCGCTTAATATTGATGGTGTATTATTTCAAACAAGCAAAAGGACTGTGGGATAGTCTTATTGTAAAAGCTTTTCCTTAAAATATTGACCTGAGTTTGATTTACCACATAGGCTCAATGTATGAGGTCCATTTCTTAATGAGCAACTACTGTTGTTCCTGGGATAATGCTAAAACCAGTTTAAACTTGAATTTTATTCACTCACGCACACACACACACTCAAAACCCACTCGCCCACTCACTCATGGAAGTTATTACATTACAAAGTAATTATTTGCAAGGTGTAAATATTCATTAGTTGAAGGTGGCAGTGTTTTGAAATTTAGGGAAGTTTTTAGTTTGAACTCCTTGGGGCTTGAATTTTAGGAACCCCTTTCAACATTTGCCGTACAGCTGATTTCCATGTTTTAATTGGGAGCAATGAGGCAAAATATAATTTGAATACTTGATATCACTACAGGTGGGACAATGAACCTAGAAATCGAAAAGAGGAAAGCCACAGATACGGAGGATGACAATTTGTCTCGCCACGAGGAAGTACCAAGGAAATTGCTCAACCATGACAAAAATGCCAACATGAAGATGCTGCTGCCAATCAAAGGAGACAGGGGCAAGGTCATTACAAGAATGGTAGAGGACATAGGTAGGAAGACTCTTTTGTTGTCATGGATACCTCACTAGAAGTTTTGTGTGCATGTCTTATGAATAAAAGATTCAAGTGTCCACTTGCAAAATTCTGAGGCAAACAATGAAAACTTATGGCATGGATTGTGTGGTCCAGACTTCATACAAATTAAATGGGAATTGCAGAGACAACTGTATAACCAGATCTCCCTGCTTGTATAACAACTGACTCAGGTGTTGAAAACGTGGTTTATGATGCAGAACCTTTTTTTACAAACATTTTTTTAAGTTCAAAAGGGCATACATCATGCACATGTAAATCATTTTCAGGGAGCTTCATAAGATGGGCGGGACAGTGATGCAAAGTGCACATAAAATTCTTAGATGGAGTAGACTACTTCATCCTTCTTTTGTTATAAAATGTTAGGCTCAGGGAGTAAATAATTTCTCATGTCAAGGATTACATTGTCTGTCAGATTCAGCAGATCATTCTGAAAAAAGATAAATCTTCCAATTTTGGATAGCATGGTGTAGTTTGTCTACACCATACCTGTCATCAAGGACTTCACCACGTTGGGTGAGTGAGTGAGTGAGTTTAGTTTTACGCCGCACTCAGCAATATTCCAGCTATATGGCGGCAGTCTGTAAATAATCGAGTCTGGACCAGACAATTCAGTGATCAACAGCATGAGCATCGATCTGCGCAATTGGGAACAATGACATGTGTCAACCAAGTCAGCGAGCCTGACCACCCGATCCTGTTAGTCGCCTCTTACGACAAGCATAGTCGCCTTTTGTGGCAAGCATGGGTTGCTGAAGACCTATTCTACCCGGATCTTCAAGGGTCTCACCACGTTGGGGGGAGGTGGGGTAGCCTGGTGGTTAAAGTGTTCCCTCATCATGCTGAAGGCCTGAGTTCAATTCCCAACATTGGTACAATTGCTAAAAGTGGCGTAAAAAACATTCTCACTGACTCACTCACCAAAGTAGTAAATGTCTGAGACTTGGTTCATTCTTAAACTGAAAATGTTTTTACTTTGTGAAGTTTGTCAGCATCATGCCTGTGCTCATGTTCCAAAAAGTGATATAGATCTAAGGCCTGCATCTCTTCTTCTTTCACATTAAGTAGATGCTCATTGATATATATATGGGAGACTGTTCAAATTGACGTTGCACCCAATACACTCACTCCTGGTGGTAAACATGAGAAGGAAAGAGTGGTTTGTTGCAATTGATTATGTTCAACAAATCTTTTTGATATGTGAAATACAGATGAAGATGAGGAAAGAGAAAATGGTGAAGTCACTGAAGAGGATATGAAGGATCCAGAAGCTGTTGATGACAAACCTCTTCGGCCACTTTCTAACGTGGAACTGCTGGTCATGAGAAGCAGGAAGTTGCAGGAGAGGAAACAATCCATCGCTTCGTTGGCCACTTCAATACTGGAAAACCCACAAGAAAATGTAGGTGTTGAATGTTATTTGTATTTATTTGTATGTGTCGTTTTTATCCCCCCAGCATGTAATGAGGGGGGATATATTTGATGCCTCATCTGTCCGTCTGTCTGTCCGTAATCATTTTGTTTCCGGAGCATAACTCAAAAAACTGTTCAATACTTTTCAACAAAAATTGGTAGATATATCAAACAGAACCTTAAGTGGTGCCTTTTGCAATTTACAGATTTTTGTCATTTTTAATTTACTTGGTTTCCATGGAAACAATTTGAACTTAGTCTCAAAAGGGAGGGGTGACCTTTGTTTCCGGAGCACAAGTCGAAAACTGTTCAATATCTTTCTTCAAAACTTTGTAGATATATCAAACAGTAGCTAAAGTGGTCCTTTTGCTGTTTGCAAGATTGTTGTCACGTTTATTTTTCTCGGTTTCCATGTGAAGCCCATTTCTGGTGTCCCCTGCCGTGATGTTGCTGGAATATTGCTAAAAGCGGCGTAAAACCAAACTCAGTCAGTCAGTCTTGGTTTCCATGGAAACGTTTCGGACATAGTCTCAAAAGGAGGGGTGAGCTTGGTTTTTCGGAGCACAACCTAAAACTGTTCTATATCTTCCTACAAGACTTGGTAGATAAATCAAGCAGAAGCTAACATGGTGCCTTTTGCTATTTGCAGATTTTTGTCATTTATATTTTTCTTGGTTTCCATGGAAAAGATTTGGACTTAGTTCAGAAAAATGTCAAAATGTTGGACTTTAAGTAACTGTCTGATGATTTGTTCTTGCAAATTTATGGGGGCCGGGGGGATTTGTCATCTTCTGACGACTCTTGTTTATCCATTTCTGTCAATGACAAAATGTTTTAGAAAACAAAAGCAAACAAGGAAGAATCCATTTTCACCAGTAGATTGTTCTCAGTGCTTTGTGTCATGGATGTTTGCTAGATCCGTCGGCTACGTGAGCTGCGTCTGATGCTGAATGAGAAGGAACCCGATCTGTACATCACGGTGAGGAAACTTGTGATGGTGTCGCTGATGGAGGTGTTCAAGGATATCGTCCCTGGCTACAAGATCAGACTGCTCACAGACAAAGAGAAGGCACAGCAGGTTGGTTATTCGGTCAGAAAAAACTCCCCTTTTGGAGAAAAACACTGCATTTGCACTTGTATACACGTATGTATATGATTGGGATTCTGTCAAGTACTTCACCCTTCTAAGAGCTCTGCGACTGCTTGGCATGGATGGTACTTTATGGGTCGTCGGCATGGAGATCAGTACGTGAATGTACGTAAAATCAATGTTAGATCCACTGTTTCTTCATACACTGGATGAGAGCTCACACCATTGACCTCTGGTTGCAACAAATCTGACATTCATGGAACAACGCCGGCTTGTCTAAGAATTCTGATCACAAGCTATACGCCTGTCCGTTACTCTCCAACCATGTGACCAGCTTATGCTCAACATCCCTCTATTTTTTCAGTTGACAATCTTACCAATGTGCTGCTGTTTCACTGGTGAATTTCATCTGCTTAGTCTCAAATGAGGCCCAACGCTTTCAAGTCTAGACTAAAAAGGCCTTTGACCATTACATACCTTTTTCCTTATCCTGACTCATGATTATTTGCTTTCTCATCCTCTCTTCCGAACAGTCAAGTGGAAACTTGAATCCTTTCAATTCCCTTGAAGCGAACGTACAATCACTCACCCTTTATTACCTCCCCTGGTTTCCCGCCAAAACCTGGCACGTGACAGTGTTATTGCTATTGCTTTGCTTATCAATGGAAAAATACCCCCAAACTCATAGAATAAGCAGTCTGTAATATTCCTGTTATATAATGTAATGTCTTTCATGACTAGATATATAATTCTGAGGTTTGCGGAAGGTATTTTAGTTTGTATTAATTATCCAATATAGAAATGATACTAACTCCCCCACTTTTCTCTGTATATTTGTTTAGCTGAAGAAAGAAACTCGAATCCTCCATGAATATGAAAGTGCACTGCTCCTTAATTACAAAGAATACCTGGAACACCTGGAGATGTCAATTAAAGGTGAGCAACACACCTGTATATTTCAGCAGTCAGCCTCAGAAGGCCATGTTTATGTTGTATTGGTTGTATAGGGTGTGTAGTGTACATTGCGATGATTTCATTATGTGAATGAGTTTGTTCATGTAACATCTTATTTAATTAATATTTTAAAGAACAATATGAATTATCCACTGTTTGACAGTGAGGACCCAGCAATGAATGTTGATGATAGGTATCTGCTGTCACCTTCTAAAATTTGTGTAATATGTCTTTGCCCAAACAGGAAAAGTTCCAAAGAGTAAAAAGCAGGCTGTGATGGAGATTCCAAAAGATGTCTCAAGGGTGAGGTTTTGATTAATCTGACACATCACGGTAACCATGGTAACTCATTGCTCATAGTAGATTCCCTTATGCGTGTCAGGATCTTAGATGAATTTGAACTAAAGTTTGCCCTGATGTTAGTATTCATGATTATATTTTTCTGTTTATGAAAACCTCAATGCCCAAAGAAATTGCTCGTTTTGATAAATCAATGTGAAAGAATTGCCTATTATATACATATTGGATGTGTTTCCAGACTGTGTCTGAGCTGGCGTGTCGGTGTATGTCTGAGATGCTGGTTCACCATCCCCACTTCAACTTCTCATCCAACATCATCTCCGTCCTGGTGCCCCTGATGCGGCGGGGAGCGATACTGCGGGACCAGGTGATCAGCACCATCACCAGGGTCTTCCAGGAAGACAAGTCGGGCCAGGTGACACTGGAGGTGAGTCAGGTGTCCATGTGATGGGGGAGGTGAGTCAGGTGATGGACCAGGTGATCAGCACTATCTCGAGGGTCTTCCAGGAAGACAAGTCGGGCCAGGTGACACTGGAGGTGAGTCAGGTGATGCGGGAGGTGAGTCAGGTGTCCATGTGATGCGGGAGGTGAGTCATGTGTCCATGTGATGCTGTAGGTGAGTCAGGTGACCATGTGATGCGGGAGGTGAGTCAGGTGTCCATGTGTTGCTGTAGGTGAGTCAGGTGTCCAGGTGAGTCTGGAGGTGAGTCAGGTGATGCTGGAGATGAGTCAGGTGATGCTCGAGGTGAGGCAGGTGATGTTGGAGTTGAGTAAGGTGTCCAGGTGATTCTAGAGGTGAGTCAGGTGTCCATGTGATGCTGGAGGTGAGTCAGATGATAATAAAGGTGTGTCCAGGAGACACTGGAGGTGAGTCAGGTGTCCATGTGATGCTAGAGGTGAGTCAGGTGTCCATGTGATGCTAGATGTGAGTCAGGTGTCCATGTGATGCTAGAGGTGAGTCAGGTGTCCATGTGATGCTAGAGGTGAGTCAGGTGTCCAGGTGATGCTGGAGGTGAGTCAGGTGGTGTTGGAGGTGTGTCAGGTGAGTCAGGTGACCAGGTGATGTTGGAGGTGAGTCAGGTGATGCTGTAGGTGAGTCAGGTGATGTTGGAGGATGTTGTAGGTGAGTCAGGTGATGCTGTAAGTGAGTCAGGTGATGTTGGAGGTGAGTCAGGTGATGTAGGTGAGTCAGGTGATGTTGGAGGTGAGTCAGGTGTCCAGGTGATGCTATTGGTGAGTCAGATGTCCAGGTTATACTGGAAGTGAGTCAGGTGATGGTTTAGGGGAGTCGGGTGTTCAGGTGATGCTAGAGGTGAGTCAGGTGTCCAGGTGATGCTAGAGGTGAGTCAGGTGTCCAGGTTATACTGGAAGTGAGTCAGGTGATGTCGGAGGTGAGTCAGATGTCCAGGTGATGCTAGAGGTGAGACAGGTGTCCAGGTGATGCTGGAGATGAGGCAGGTGATGCAGGAGGTGAGGTCTGGTGTCGGTGCATGAAGGGGCCATTATCATGTCAACTTTCGGACTGGAATACTGGGGAACATCTTGGAACACAGGCATGTCAAGTCTCTTGAGTACGCTGATGGCCCACAGTGTGGTCAGCTTCCCAATATGCCTAAAACTTCATATGTGTTCAGGATTATATGACTTCAGCACAAGTAGTTTCAGTTCGCCTTGTCTTTAAGAGGCATTTGAATAATGTATTTGTATCATTGAAGAGAGAACTGTTTTCAACACTTTTTTCTTTCGATTTTTCCACTCTTGGTCCATACCTGTTAACTTACCAACTAAGTCCATGGTTGTCTGTGTTCCCACATTTATCATTGTTATAAAATTGTAGCTCAAGTAGTGTTTAATTTATTTTTCAGATTGTTCGAAGTATTGGGAAAATGGTGAAAGCGTGTAACTACAGTGTCAAACCTAAGGTAACATCAACGTGTGTCTGTGTCACCTGCCTGAAATAGTTGTATCTGACTAAAACACTCATAATGATCTCAGTGTGTTGAATGTTTTTGTGAGATCTGCTGAACATTCCTGAAGCTGAAGCTGTATTGCTATAGATGATATGATCAATATACCTCATACAGAGCACTGTTTCAATGTACTTGGTTCACTGCCTGCTTACATGTCATCATGGGGATTCTGAGTTAGATCAGGTCCCCAGCCTGTTATGCTAGCAAGAGGTGACTAAAGGACTGGAGAATTCATGTGGTGAGTTCTGGTGTCCCCCGCTGTAATATTGCTGGCGTATAACCAAACTCAGCTCATGTGGTGAGACTTGGATGACAGTGTGTCATGGTAGTCTTGTTACCATGGTATTTTGCTCTTAATGTCAGTCACTGGCTTGTCTGGTTCAGATTCGGTTAATTGCATTCTGTCATTTGTGTCATTTGTGTATTTGATGTATCATAACTTTCATTGCTGTGTAGGTACTGGATACACTTCTTGCTCTCAAGATCAGGGAGGTCGACTTGTCCACATTCGGGGAAAATCAGAAAGTCGAGAGGCGGAAAGAACAACTTCAGAGACTGTCAAAGAAAGAAAGGAAGGTTTGTTTAGTTAGAGTCAGTCAGTATGGATGGTGACAATACTGGGCTGAAGTTTGGATTTAACACGCCATGGGTTGTGTCGGAGTAGAATTACCAGTCATGTGGGGGTAAGGTAACTCACTCATTACTATATGCAGTAAATTTCAGTAAGATAACAGGGTAAACGTTTATGCTCCAGTTATATTTCAGTTTAATATATGCACTGTGTAGTGATAGCTAAAGTGATGACAGTGTCCTCGTGACTTGTATGTTACTGATTACATGACCAATAAAGAGGAAGAGCCTTCAGTATTTAGTTTAATGATATGTTTATCTACCATGTTAAAAGAGCTCTTAATTGTTGGAAGAAAGAACTCCTAAGAAGGTCATGTTTGAACAAAAGAGCCATTGTTTCCCAATTTGCCACGGATGCTTAGTTGGTGAGGTAGACAGATCCAAGGTGTTGCTAGGCAACAGCTGTATGTTTCAGAGGAAGAAGGCGATGGACAAGATCAACCAGGAGCTGCAGGAGGTTCAGGCCACCGAGGACAAGAAGAAGAAGCTGAAACTGGTAAATAGTGAGGGAGGCGAATAGGAAGGGGAGGTGTTGGTGAGGTGAATAGGGAGGGGTGATGTTGGTGAGGTGAATAGGGAGGGGTGATGTTGGTGAGTTGAATAGGGATGGGAGGTGTTGGTGAGTTGAATAGGGAGGGGTGATGTTGGTGAGTTGAATAGGGAGGGGTGATGTTGGTGAGTTGAATAGGGAGGGGTGATGTTGGTGAGTTGAATAGGGAGGGGAGATGTTGGTGAGTTGAATAGGGAGGGGTGATGTTGGTGAGTTGAATAGGGAGGGGTGATGTTGGTGAGTTGAATAGGGAGGGAGGATGTTGGTGAGTTGAATAGGGAGGGAGGATGTTGGTGAGTTGAATAGGGAGGGAGGTGTTGGTGAGTTGAATAGGGAGGGTGATGTTGGTGAGTTGAATAGGGAGGGGTGATGTTGGTGAGTTGAATAGGAGGGGAGTGATGTTGGTGAGTTGAATAGGGAGGGAGATGTTGGTGAGTTGAATAGGGAGGGGTGATGTTGGTGAGTTGAATAGGGGGGTGATGTTGGTGAGTTGAATAGGGAGGAGGTGTTTGTGATGTTGGTGAGTTGAATAATAGGAGGAGGTGTTGGTGAGTTGAATAGGGAGGGGTGATGTTGGTGAGGTGAATAGGAGGGGAGATGTTGGTGAGGTGAATAGGAGGGGAGGTGTTGGTGAGGTGAATAGGAGGGGTGTTGTTGGTGAGGTGAACAGGAGGGAGGTGTTGGTGGAAGTGAATAGGGAGGGGAGATGTTGGTGAGGGTGAACAGGGAGGGAGGTGTTGGTGAGGTGAATAGGGAGGGAGATGTTGGTGAGTTGAACAGGGAGGGAGGTGTTGGTGAGTTGAATAGGAGGGTGATGTTGGTGAGGTGAACAGGAGGGAGGATGTTGGTGAGGTGAATAGGGAGGAGATGTTGGTGAGCTGAATAGGAGGGAGGTGTTGGTGAGGTGAATAGGAGGGGTGATGTTGGTGAGGTGAACAGGAGGGGAGGTGTTGGTGAAGTGAATAGGAGGGAGATGTTGGTGAGTTGAATAGGGAGGGGTGATGTTGGTGAAGTGAATAGGGAGGGGTGATGTTGGTGAGTTGAACAGGGAGGGGTGATGTTGGTGAAGTGAATAGGGAGGGGAGATGTTGGTGAGTTGAACAGGGAAGGGAGATGTTGGTGAGGTGAACAGGGAGGGGTGATGTTGGAGAGGTGAATAGGGAGGGTGGGGGTCTTGGTGAGGTTAATTATGTAGGGGAGGTGGTAAAGAAGTGGGATGAAAAGGGAAGGGATGTGAATGGTGAGGGAGGTGGGTGGGGGTGGAGTTCAAGAATTGTGCACTTATGTAGCAACAGATGTGCATGTGTGAGACATGCATGCATGCACCAGGATTATTTGGGACTGATGTAGGCTCTATAATGCTCGGCCATGGAGATCCTGTGCTGCAGTTTGTTGTGAATACTCCCCTTAGGAAGCAGGTATTTGTTTGAATAAACTAATCTGCTCCCTTTGAGTTCTCTTTCTAAATGGAACAGTATATGTCTTGATGCTTCTATTAATATTCTTTACCCACCAAATGTTTCACTTGCTGCCCTCATCACTGCTCTGACCATTTCTTCTCGTTACAGCACACAGAGATAATCCATGCAGTTTTTGTGACCTACTTCCGGATCCTGAAAAATGCCACCCAGTCTGTGCTCCTGCCCTCAGTGCTGGAGGGACTGGCCAGGTAGGAACAGTAGCATTTTATCTTTTACAGATCAGGTGGAATAACAGTGCTTGGAATCAGTTAAAATGTCGAAAATTGATCATTGGTTTGGCATAAATCTGACTGGTTTTACATAAAACATTCACTCAACACACCCGAAGACCCGGGTTCAAATCCCCACATGGGTATAAACTATAATGTGTGAAGCCCATTTCTGGTGTGTCCTTTCCATGATATTGTTGGACTATTGCTGAAACTCGCTCACTCACTAAGTATCACATCCTGTCGGGTACCCATTCAGTGCTAAACATCTCGGTCTTGAAAATAGTCCAAGTTAAATTGCATCATCTTGAAAATGTGCACCCATTGTGTTTTCTTGAATTATGTACATTTTGTTTAGACTAAAATTCACGTAGACATTTATGATCACAGTCTCATCAATAAGCAAGTGACAACACTGTTGTAGATTCAGATTACCATGATATTTGCTGTAAACTATATACATGCTTACTCATACAAAGTTAACTTTCCCTTTTGGACGCACGAACAAGAAAGATTCCATGTATCAATAGTAGAAATTTACAAGATAAAAGTGCAGGTACTCAAATGAGATAGGCCTTGGCTAAAGATTTAACGTGATAAGGGTCCCAAGTTCTGCTTCAGAAATATGCATGATATTTTGAATGTTAATGAGCACTGTGATACTTTCACCACTTCTGCAGCTGCTCCACTTGACATTTTCCCCACATGGTTGAGCTGGTTTGGCATTTAGATAGTTGGCCATGGTTGTCTGGATTAGAGATGGCAGACATTGTTAGCAAGTGTCATAACTATTTGCTGAAGTCATGTGCCTGTAGTCCCGTCTCAGTTTCAGTTCTAAATGTACAGTGTATAGGATGTGTTGTAACGTCGTAACGAACCTTGCGTTGTGTTTGACATGATTCTTCATCTTTCAGGTTTGCGCATCTGATCAACGTCGAATTCTTTGATGACTTGTTCAAAGTGTTTCAGTCTCTCATAACATCGGGGGTAAGTAATTTCTTATTATTTTCTTGTCTGCGGTGGGCAGGGGCGTATCTTCCATTAAGACAAAAAGCCCAGGCTTACACATGATTGTTGCTAGAAAGGTTTGGCAAGCCATCAATACCATCTAATATAAAGCTTGGCAACCTATCGGGCTTACAAGAAACAATTGGCTTGCTACGCGGCTGATGGCTGACTGAGCATGAATATTGTTGATTGTACATCAATATTGTTGATTGTACATGAATATTGTTGATTGTACATGAATATTGTTATTTTTCCTTATCCTGACTCATGCTTATTGCCTGTCTTCTTCTTCTGGCGAACCTAGTGGAACACTTGTATCTCCCAATTGAAGTTCTCTTCAATAAAAAATCACTCATTAGTACTCACCACGAGTTACCTCCCTTCTGCAAGCGCGGGAAGGAGGGCGCCACCTGATCCCATGTGCCTAACTCTCTCCTTCTTCGCCCAGTGAGCTGGACGTGAGAGCGCCTGTGTCTCCCAACACACTATATCCTTTAATTATATTTAGTTTAGTTCCTCTTATACTTAGTATAGAGGTATTACTAGTATCCTTATTCAATTTGCATTGTTTATTAATTGTGTTTCTGCTGTTTATTCACGCTTCTCCGTGATTGTTCAGTAGGCTACATTAATGAAAATTTGCACAGATTGTAAACTGCGTTATTCTGATACCGATCCACATTTAAAATGCCCTAGTTGCATTACTCCATGTTCTTTTGATTCTCGTTGTAAATTTTGTATCAATTTACCAATTTCTGCCTTTGATAAATATTTATGTTCCGTTTATAGACGGAAGGCAGATAAATCTCGTAAACAAAATTCAAGCATGGCTAATAGATCGCAAATTAATGTTCCCTGTCAACTGTTGACTGAGGACACGCCACCGGCTGGTGGCATGCCTGAGTTTTCCCTCGGCGGATAAGCGTGGGACGCAGTCCGCTATGTCCAAGAAGCGACCTGCATCTCAAGAGCTGCCGTCTTCTCAGTCCAAGACTAAGAAACCATCCATATTCATCTCGTACGCTGCGTACACCCAGATCTACAGCTACGTCAAAAGGGAAGTCTACAAAATCTAATAATTTTGCCTTTGATATTTTACCAGTTACAGAATTAGCCTTATATGATGATGATATTCCGATTATCATTCCAGATGTTCGTCACAAGAAACGGCCTGTTTCTGCGACTGTCACCTCAGCGCAGATTAGCACACAACCGGAGATGCCTACGTTGTCACCAGAAATTTTGTCTGAGGGTCCCGTCACCTCCGCAGAGAGACATCCCTCATCATCAGCGCAGACCGCCTCAGACGACCTGGTCAACCAAATAATGAGGCTGATGGAAGACCGTTACGGCTTACAGAGGCCTCAGAGCCACGGGCCTCAGAGCCCACCCCATATTAAGTCATACAGGGCCTCAGAGCCCGCCTTGGCTTCGCGTAGGGCCTCAGAGCCCACAGACGTGCCTCCGCGAAGGGCAACCCTGCCCGGAGTGAGCGCTTTGCATAGGGTATCCCAGGCCGCCTCCGCGAAGGAGCTAGAGCCTCACCTATTGCAAGAGGCTTCGCGGAGAAGGAGCGCTTCGCCGAGCACGCACCTTGTAACTCACAGAGGGCGTTCGCGAAGCAAGCGGTCATATGTTGATTCGGACACTGACTCGAGACATTCGCGAAGGACGCGAAGGCTAAGTGGTTCTATATCTACCTCGCCTAGAAGACGTTCCCGAAGCCCCCAGTGTTCGCGTAGCCCTCAATGTTCGAGAAGTCCACAGCGTCTGCGAAGCCCTCACCGTTCACGAAGCCCACAGCCTCTGCGAAGGATGTCTTATCCAAGGTCTCCGTACGCTAGCCACTCGTCAGTCCGTTCTCCACAGTCCTCTCATAGATCTTCTTACAGATCTAGGACTCCGACATACGACCATACGTCAGAAGAGGACGATGGTATCATTTTCTCAGATGCTGAGATAAGATACTGTAAAGCGTACTTATTTTAAGCGTGGTGCAATTTTAAGCGGAATTGACAGTTTAGACTACATCAGCGGTCAATTATTCGCAATCAGTAATTGCGGAACTGCCAGCTGTCTCTTTGGCCGCCACTAATAGCAGTGAAAACAAACAGAGTGGGTGGCGTTTATTACTTACTCACAGGAATCCATTATCTGTCGAGATATACTAGTACACAGTAGCCTGTTTACTCGAGAAGAGAAGAAAACACATCAGTATTATGTTCGAATTCTGACGATCTGACTAATTAACTTATCCTGTATATGAAGCTCTTTGTGATTTCAAACAAGCCGGGTTGTTGTGAATGAGATGATTGAGTGTTAGTGACTATTAAACTTCATGATGATACGTTTGTATCTAAATAATTAAATAAATACTGCTGTATTATTTCTTTCCGAGTCGTTTCATGGTAATCTGTTTTGCATCAAACCATCTGTCATGTGACCAATTTCCATGGCGGCCACAACACACATTGCTGTTTTAAGCTAATTGGCGATGGGATTTGGCTCATTATATAATTATGTTTTGGGAAATCCATTACAGCGACAGTTAAGTGTAATTCTTTATGCTACTATCAGTCGTCATTTTAAGATTCCGTAGATTTCTGTCTTCAAAGCGTGATGTGTTATGGTAACAACTCAGGGCGGCGTGGCTAGACTGAATGAATGACAGGTTTATTCAGCGGTGTATAAATTTTGGCTAAAATGTTTTGCTTGTAGCTAAAAATAAAACCTCTTGCGAAATATACTTACGTTTACAGTATTGGATGGTAAATGAATTACAACTGGCCTCCCCTTCTAAGAGCGAGGATACAACTCAAACTTACCTGATGAAGATGATGATGTAGACCATATCACTTTGCCTCCTATGGATCCTATCGCAGCCATTCCTGCTAAACTGGATACAGCCTACTCCAAATCTGCTAAAACCCAACCTACCCATTTACTGTTCTTCAATGCCAAGAAATTTTATGGACATAATATGGAGCCCTTTTTCAAGACCCAGGAGATTGATGACAACTTTAAACTTATCAGTGATTCCAAGTCCAGAAGTAGAGCGATCGCAAGCTGGCCCAGTTAGATACCATTTCCAGAAGGATGTTCTTCGGACTTAATAGATCTAGGACTATTAATGAGACTCTCATCACCAAGTTCAAGAACTCTACGGATGAGGAAGACAGGATGATCTACTCAGCTCTACTTATGCAGAAAAAAGATCAACAATTCCTTACAGACCACCTTTCAGCACTTACTGAAACTACTACCATGACGCGTCGGCAAGGATTACTAGCCTCCTGCTCTTGGAATAAACAATTCACAGAGCCCCTGTACACAGCTCCATGGTCTTCGCCCTTACTGTTTGGTGGCAACATTAACAAGGTTTCCAAGGAAGTATCTAAAGATTCCAGAGAGGTACTCATGATTAAATCCATGGATACGTTAGCGAACGTCTTTAAACAGTCAGCACAGAGGTACTCGGGTAAATCTAAGTTTTCAGGGCTACAGAGAGCTCGGGATAAGAAACTAGCGGCTGCTAATAATCCCAAGGATTCTTTTCGTCGCCCATACAACAAGTTCAGCTAGAGGCAGATCATCCAGAGGTACTCGATGGATTTAGACGATGAAAGTCAGGTTCGGTATCCAACATCCTCCAATGCGGATATCGCGTCTACAACTCAAAGGCCAAGCCACCGCTTAACAGTCAACCCTCCAGGGTTCACACGTTCATACGGCACAACTACTGATGTTAAGAGAAACAGTTCAGTCTCTACTAAACAAACAGGCCTTAGAAGTTCTGGATCAACGAAACATCATACCAGGTTTCTACTCCCCAGTTTTCCTAGTACCGAAAAAGAATTCCAAGGAGAAGTATCGTCTCATTTACAACATGAGCACATTCAACAGAGAATTTCTATGCAAACCTCCAGCGTTTCGCATGATACATTTACCTCAACTCCGCCATTTAATTAGTCCTCTAGATTACATGGCCAGCATAGATCTGCAGGACGCATATCTACTCATTCCGATTCATCCCAGTTCAAGGAAATATCTAAGGTTTATGCTAGACGGCATACACTACCAATGGAAGGTACTTCCCTTCGGAATCACTTCGGCCCCATGGGTATTCACAAGAGTAACCAAGCCTATTGTCTCATACCTACATCGTCAAGGCCTGCGGAGTGCATTTTACCTAGACGACGGTATACAAGTGGATCCAGATCCACAGCGTCTCAGACTACAGCTGAACGTTATAATCAAGCTACTAACTCAATTAGGATGGTTAGTAAATCTACTCAAGTCGGAACTAGAGCCACGCAGGATCTGCAGTTTCTAGGTATACGATTCCTTACAGCTCAGAATCGTATGGTAGTCCCGGAGGACAGATGGATCAAGATACAACAACTGATTCCCCAAGCCCTACTCTCTCCGTTACCACTACGACAGTGGCAGAGTCTATTGGGACTACTCACATCAGCTCAAGACTTGACACTCAGAGGCAGACTTCAATTGCGTCCATTACAAGTCCTCATCAATGCTCATCTCGAGGACCCTCTACTGTTCAGTCTACCAGATTACGTCAAACCTCATCTACTCTGGTGGACCAAGAGATTGAATGTTTGCGCAGGCGTCTCCTTAGTAGAGCCGGAATCGAAAAGCATCTCTCGTAGGCAGCGTCACTAAAACGTTAGGGGAGCCCACCTTACTGGCAGGACAGCGTCAGGCCTATGGAGCAATCAAGAGAGCTTATGTCACATAAATCTGCTAGAGATGCAAGCAGTCATAAACGCCATAGGTCACTGGAGCAACCTACTTCAGAACGCTCAGTTAATGATTCACACAAACAACTCAACAGTGGCGTTTTATGTGAACAAACAAGGGTCAACAAGATCACTGAATCTACTCACTTTCGATGTTTCAAACTTTTGAATTAATCGACAGTCTAAACATACGCAGTGTCAGAGCTTGCCACATTCCAGGAGCAAAGAATGTGTTAGCAGACGCTCTCCTTGGCCACACCAACCGTCACCGACAGAATGGATGCTCCACACAGAGATATTCAATATAGCGAAAAATCAACTGCCAGGCCAACCAGACAGATTGTTCCATGTCCCAGCTCTCTCATCCATACTTGGACCGCATGATACGATGGACTTATCACTTTGCCCTGTACGTGCACTGAAAATATATCTCCAAAGATCCAAGCAAAGTAGAGGGAAATTCAAAAGATTGTTTATCCCTATATCTACCGCTTCACAGACAGAAGTGTCGCGAACTACGATCTCTATTTGGATCAGAACTGTCATACTACGAGCCTACAAGGCTGCTGGACTCGACCCTCCAAGAGCTTCTAATCCTCACGAAATTAGAGCATTAGCCTCAACTCTAGCTCGACATGGAAATTGCTCATTGAATACCATTATTGAGGGATGTTTTTGGAGGTCCGATATGGTGTTTGCCAACCACTACCTGAGAGATATCACCACCAAGGATGTCTCAGGTATCCACCATTTCGGTCCCATAGTCCTCGCTCAACAGTTGACAGTTCCACGGAGAAGATAAGTTTATCTTACTGATTTTATACTTATCTGATAACAGTACTAATAGCTACATGCTATCTATATATTTTGCTTAAGTTAAATTATTATCTTAAGCTCAGTACCATGATTCTATATCATACTATATATATGCTACAACTCTTAGGAGTTCTACTATTATATATATGTTCAGCTTAAAAGTTCTATCTTTAAGCTCAGTCATATGTTCAGTTCATAACATGTATTAGTTAACAAACTCTCAGTAGTTGGTTACTATTATACAGCTTAAGTTATAATTATTTACTTAAGCACAGTTATATTATAGCTTATATATATGCATAGTGTAAGCATAATACTTTGGTTCTTTATAAAAGTATTCACTATAAACTAGCAAGAGTTTATACTATCACATTAATGGCTTCAGCTTACTTAATGTTATATATACTTTTATTATATTCAGTAAAATTGTAATAACCCTTATATGGCAGCTGATAAGTTACAGCAAGAATTCTTCAGTTCAGTGCCTTTATGAAGTTCCCATAGGGTTATTGCAATCATCTCAGTTCAAATCACTAATTAGTAAAATCCAAAGTATATATAATCCCACCTCCTAATCCGTAGGATTCTACAAGCAATAAGCATGAGTCAGGATAAGGAAAAATATGAAATTTTTAGAGTAAAATTAATATTTTATACTTATCCTGACTCATGAGGTAAGCCCTCCCGTCCTCCCCACTTAACACTTTGGATTTCTCAGGAAAAATAAAGTGTTGGGCTCAAAACAAAAAAGGAGAGAGTGAGGCACATGGGATCAGGTGGCGCCCTCGTTCCCACGCTTGCAGAAGGGAGGTAACTCGTGGTGAGTACTAATGAGTGATTTTTTATTGAAGGGAACTTCAATTGGGAGATACAAGTGTTCCACTAGGTTCGCCAAAAGAAGAAGACAAGCAATAAGCATGAGTCAGGATAAGTATAAAATATTAATTTTACTCTAAAAATTTCATGATTGTACATCAATATTGTTGATTGTACATGAATATTGCAAACAGTTTTATTCTGAAACTAACCTAATTCCTACTTCTTCCACCCAGGACCTGACGTACCGCGAGAGTCTGCACTGTGTCCAGACAGCCTTCACTATAATGACGGGGCAGGGCTCTGCCCTCAACATAGACCCCATGACCTTCTACAAGCATCTCTACCAGATGCTCTTCAAGGTTCATGCAGGTATGCTAGTGGTCAGTTAGTTGACCTATGGTGAAGTTACAGTTGCCCAATACCTGTATACAGTCTCATGCTGGTTACCTGGTTGTTGAACTATCCTTGTCGGATGCCCAGTTTCACTTGTCCATTTGTTGACCTATGTGTATATTTCCGTTACACGATATCCCGTGTATGGTATGGAGTTAGTTGAGTGGCGGTACATTACTCTATAAATCATCCTCTGTATGTTCCTCTCCAGGTAGCTCCAGTGACGACATCCCCATCATCCTGGACTGCCTGGACGTCATGATCAGCCGCAGGAGGAAGCAGGTGAGAATCTCGTTACCAGGTGTTCCATGAGCACTTTCATTATGCATGTCACTGCCTTCAGTAGGCATCTCTGACTGTCTTTCTGTTGTGGAAAGGTCAATTTCAGTTTGTTATTGTTGTTAATTTCAAATGTCCAGTGTTGGACAAATAGACTTGAAGAGTGAGTGAGTGAGTGAGTTTGGTTTTACACCGCTTTTAGCAATATTCCAGCAACATCACAGCCGGGAACACCAGAAATGAGCTGCACACATTGTACCCATGTGGGGATTCGAACCCGGGTCTTCGGTGTGACGAGCCAACGCTTTAACCACTAGGCTACCCCACCGCCCCAAGACTTGAAGAATGCCTCATACTCTTTAGACCCCACCATGGATCAAAAAGCCATGAAACATACCAAAACTTCCTACCTAAGACTCATAATACTCCCCAAGGGTCTTCCCCATTGAGAGCTTTGTTGGTTGTGCCTGCATCTGTATAAAACCAATGCATTTGATGCACTGATATGCATAGTAACACTAAGTAATCAACACATTGTTTGGTGACTGTCTGTGTCATTGTATGGGAGTTAGTTGTGGCTCTAAGATGGTGTATTGAAAGGGCCTGGACATATTGTTGATGAATGTAGGATTGTTGTAGGTGTCCCAGCAGAGGATCCTGTCGTACATGAAGCGGTTGAGCACTCTGACGCTGCAGCAGATGCCCCATTCGGTGCTCGGACTCCTGTCTGCCATCCGAGGACTCATCCAGGTGAGCTAACACTCAGTCTTACTGATCCAGGTGAGCTAACACTCAGTCTTACTGATCCAGGTGAGCTAACACTCAATCTTACTCAGCCAGGTGAGCTAACACTCAGTCTTACTCAGCCAGGTGAGCTAACACTTAGTTTTACTCAGCCATGTGAGCTAACACTCAGTCTTACTCAGCCAGGTGAGCTAACACTCAGTCTTACTCAGCCAGGTGAGCTAACACTCAGTCTTACTCAGCCAGGTGAGCTAACACTCAATCTTACTCATCCAGGTGAGCTAACACTCAGTCTTACTCAGCCAGGTGAGCTAACCCTAAATCACTAACAGAGACATTTTGCATGTTGTAAAAGTTACTGTGGTGTAGGTGAGCTTGGTTTGCCCTCTTGACAATATTTCAAAATATTTCTTGGCTTATTAACTTGGGACGGAAGCTCAAACTGAGATAACTGCATTCATGTTTTATTTCACACAGGGCTTCCCCTTCACAGACCGACTGTTTGATAACGAGGCTGAGGGGAGTGGATTGTTCCGCCCTGATATCGATGACCCCGAACACTGTAACGCCCAGAACACTGCTGTGTGGGAGCTGACCCTTCTACAGGTGAGTGATTCTCAGGTGTGTAATTCTGTACGACGTTCTACAGGTGAGTGATTCTCAGGTGTGTGGATCTGTATGACGTTCTACAGGTGAGTGATTCTCAGGTGTGTGGTTCTGTACGACGTTCTAAAGGTGAGTGATTCTCAGGTGTGTGATCTGTACAACGCTCCTGCTACAGGTGAGTGATTCTCAGGTGTGTGGTTATGTATAACGTTCTACAGGTAAGTGATTCTCAGGTGTGTGTTCTGTACAACGCTCTACAGGTGAGTGATTCTCAGGTGTGTGGTTCTGTATGATGTTCTACAGGTGAGTGATTCTCAGGTGTGTGGTTCTGTAATGAAGGTTCCTGCAGATGAATGGTTCTCAGGTGTGTGGTTCTGTATGACGTTCTACAGGTGAGTGATTCTCAGGTGTGTTTCTGTACCACGTTCTACAGGTGAGTGATTCTCAGGTGTGTGGTTCTGTATGATGTTCCTCCAGATAAATGGTTCTCAGGTGTGTGGTTCTGTATGATGTTCCTACAGATCAATGGTTCTCAGGTATGTGGTTCTGTATATGACGTTCCTGCAGATAAATGGTTCTCAGGTGTGTGGTTCTGTATGATGTTCTTGCAGATAAATGGTTCTCAGGTGTGTGGTTCTGTAATGACGCTACTGCAGATGAGTGGTTCTCAGGTGTGTGGTTCTGCATGATGTTCCTACAGATGAGTGGTTCTCAGGTGGTTGGTTCTGTATGGCGTTCCTACAGATGAATGGTTCTCAGGTGTGTGGTTCTGTATGACATTCCTACAGATAAATGGTTCTTAGGTATGTGGTTCTGTATGATGTTCCTACAGATAAATGGTTCTCAGGTGTGTGGTTCTGTATGATGTTCTTGCAGATGAGTGGTTCTCAGGTGTGTGGTTCTGTACTGGCTGGCGTTACTGCAGATGAGTGGTTCTCAGGCGAGGTCATCTCAATAGATGTGTACGCGATAGTATAATTATCAGTTATGTAAGGGATCATTTGTGTATGTGTGTTTGTTTTGAAATAAACATACGAATTACTGTACATTGGAAAGAATCCTATCACTTGTGTTATCTTATCGACTGATTGTAGAAATGTGCAACGTTTTAATAAATGTTTTGCATGTCAACAGTATATTTCATTGAAAAAATATGGATGTAATTCGGTCTGTTTAATCTAGTTGTGAACATTGGCCAAAGATTTAACGAAGTCACTGGTGTAGCTTCTTTAGAATATATATATTTTTCTTCTCATAAAGTTTGTAGACCGCCCGTCTAAGCACTCCCTTGTCAAAGTTGTCAAGGATGGTTTTATCGTCCCGTTTTGCATTTGAGACGGTCCCTCTCTTGTCTGATTTGTTTACAATATTGTAAATTTGTTGGTAAGACATGCCAACAGCTCTACAAGTTCTGTAATAAACCCTTTCTAAACTAATGAAAGGTTTACCTCTGTCTTTTTTAAGCAGAAAAACTATAAACCTTTGCAACAATTGACTGCAAATCGTTGGCCATAGTGGACGCTGTGATAAAGATGTGCATGCATGACGGGAAACTTATTTGTCAAGACTTAACATTTATATTAATATTTCTTCAATAAAGAAAACTATACTTTAGTAAAGTAACACAAACATTCAACATTTATTTGTTTAGGAAAAACGTTAATTCATATTTTTACTCCACCTGTATCATTAGCATAAATGTAAAGACTATTTCAGATTTCTGTTGTTGAACTCTGAAAAAATCTTAAGTTGCTGTTTTGGTACCAAATTCTCTCCTGTAAACTGCCCTTTAAATGCATGGGAATGTTAAATCGATTGAAATAAAAATTAGGTAGACAATAGGCGAGTTGATATATTGACAACATAGTACATTTATCACCTTTATAACGATATTAAGGCTAAAAAGCATTTTTCTAGCATTTCCGACAGTACTATAACACTCAATCTTAATCATCCAGGTGAGCTAACACTCATTCTTACTCATCCAGGTGAGCTAACCCTAAATCACTAACAGGGACATTTTGCATGTTGTAAAAGTTACTGTGGTGTAGGTGAGCTGGGTTTGCCCCCTTGACAATATTTCAAAATATTTCTTGGCTTATTAACTTGGGACGGAAGCTCAAACTGAGATAACTGCATTCATGTTTTATTTCACACAGGGCTTCCCCTTCACAGACCGACTCTTTGATAACGAGGCTGAGGGGAGTGGATTGTTCCGCCCTGATATCGATGACCCCGAACACTGTAACGCCCAGAACACTGCTGTGTGGGAGCTGACCCTTCTACAGGTGAGTGATTCTCAGGTGTGTGATCTGTACGACGTTCTACAGGTGAGTGATTCTGTACAGGTGAGTGATTCTGTACGATGTTCTACAGGTGAGTGATTCTCAGGTGTGTGGTTCTGTACGACATTCTACATGTGAGTGATTCTCAGGTGAGTGATTCTGTACGATGTTCTACAGGTGAGTGATTCTGTACAGGTGAGTGATTCTGTACGATGTTCTACAGGTGAGTGATTCTGTACAGGTGAGTGATTCTGTATGATGTTCTACAGGTGAGTGATTCTCAGGTGAGTGATTCTGTACGATGTTCTACAGGTGAGTGATTCTCAGGTGAGTGATTCTGTACGACGTTCCAGCAGATAAATGGTTCTCAGGTGTGTGGTTCTGTACGATGTTCCAGCAGATAAATGGTTCTCAGGTGTGTGGTTCTGTACGACGTTCCTGCAGATGAATGGTTCTCAGGTGTGGGGTTCTGTACTACGTTCCAGCAGATAAGTGGTTCTCAGGTGTGTGGTTCTGTATGACGTTCCAGCAGATGAATGGTTCTCAGGTGTGTGGTTCTGTACGACGTTCCAGCAGATAAATGGTTCTCAGGTGTGTGGATCTGTACTACGTTCCAGCAGATGAATGGTTCTTGGGTGTGTGGTTGTGTACGACGTTCCAGCAGATGAATGGTTCTCAGGTGTGTGGTTCTGTATGACGTTCCAGCAGATAAATGGTTCTCAGGTGTGTGGTTCTGTATGACGTTCCAGCAGATGAATGGTTCTCAGGTGTGTGGTTCTGTATGACGTTCCAGCAGATGAATGATTCTCAGGTGTGTGGTTCTGTACTACGTTCCAGCAGATGAATGGTTCTTGGGTGTGTGGTTCTGTATGACGTTCCTGCAGATGAATGGTTCTCAGGTGTGTGGTTCTGTATGACGTTCCTGCAGATGAGTGATTCTCAGGTGTGTGGTTCTGTATGACGCCCAGCAGATGAATGGTTCTCGGGTGTGTGGTTCTGTATGGCGTTCCTGCAGATGAGTGATTCTCAGGTGTGTGGTTCTGTATGGCGCTCCAGCAGATGAATGGTTCTCAGGTGTGTGTGGTTCTGTATGACGTTCCAGCAGATGAATGGTTCTCAGGTGTGTGGTTCTGTACGACGTTCCAGATAGATGAGTGGTTCTCAGGTGTGTGGTTCTGTACTACGCTCCAGCAGATGAATGGTTCTCGGGTGTGTGGTTCTGTATGACGTTCCTGCAGATGAGTGATTCTCAGGTGTGTGGTTCTGTATGACGTTCCAGCAGATGAATGGTTCTTGGGTGTGTGGTTCTGTATGACGTTCCAGCAGATGAGTGATTCTCAGGTGTGTGGTTCTGTACTACGTTCCAGCAGATGAATGGTTCTTGGGTGTGTGGTTCTGTATGACGCTCCAGCAGATGAATGGTTCTCGGGTGTGTGGTTCTGTACTACGTTCCAGCAGATGAATGGTTCTTGGGTGTGTGGTTCTGTATGACGTTCCAGCAGATGAATGGTTCTCGGGTGTGTGGTTCTGTATGACGTTCCTGCAGATGAGTGATTCTCAGGTGTGTGGTTCTGTATGACGTTCCAGCAGATGAATGGTTCTCGGGTGTGTGGTTCTGTACGACGTTCCAGCAGATGAATGGTTCTCAGGTGTGTGGTTCTGTACGACGTTCCAGCAGATGAGTGATTCTCAGGTGTGTGGTTCTGTACTACGTTCCAGCAGATGAATGGTTCTCGGGTGTGTGGTTCTGTACTACGTTCCAGCAGATAAATGGTTCTTGGGTGTGTGGTTCTGTATGACGTTCCAGCAGATGAATGGTTCTCGGGTGTGTGGTTCTGTACGACGTTCCAGCAGATGAATGGTTCTCAGGTGTGTGGTTCTGTACGACGTTCCAGCAGATGAATGGTTCTTGGGTGTGTGTTTCTGTATGACGTTCCAGCAGATGAATGGTTCTCAGGTGTGTGGTTCTGTACGACGTTCTAGCAGATGAATGGTTCTTGGGTGTGTGGTTCTGTACTACGTTCCAGCAGATGAATGGTTCTTGGGTGTGTGGTTCTGTACGACGTTCCAGCAGATGAATGGTTCTCAGGTGTGTGGTTCTGTACGACGTTCCAGCAGATGAGTGATTCTCAGGTGTGTGGTTCTGTACTACGTTCCAGCAGATGAATGGTTCTTGGGTGTGTGGTTTCTGTATGACGTTCCAGCAGATGAATGGTTCTCAGGTGTGTGGTTCTGTACGACGTTCTAGCAGATGAATGGTTCTTGGGTGTGTGGTTCTGTATGACGTTCCAGCAGATGAATGGTTCTCAGGTGTGTGGTTCTGTATGACGCTCCAGCAGATGAATGGTTCTTGGGTGTGTGTTCTGTATGACGTTCCAGCAGATGAATGGTTCTCGGGTGTGTGGTTCTGTATGACGCTCCAGCAGATGAATGGTTCTCAGGTGTGTGGTTCTGTATGACGCTTCCAGCAGATGAGTGGTTCTCAGGTGTGTGGTTCTGTACTGACGTTCCAGCAGATGAATGGTTCTTGGGTGTGGTTCTGTATGACGTTCCAGCAGATGAATGGTTCTCTCGGTGTGTGGTTCTGTACGACGTTCCAGCAGATGAATGGTTCTCAGGTGTGTGGTTCTGTATGACGTTCCTGCAGATGAATGGTTCTCGGGTGTGTGGTTCTGTATGACGTTCCAGCAGATGAATGGTTCTCAGGTGTGTGGTTCTGTATGACGTTCCAGCAGATGAGTGGTTCTCAGGTGTGTGGTTCTGTACTACGTTCCAGCAGATGAATGGTTCTCAGGTGTGTGGTTCTGTATGACGTTCCTGCAGATGAATGGTTCTCAGGTGTGTGGTTCTGTATGACGTTCCTGCAGATGAATGGTTCTCAGGTGTGTGGTTCTGTATGACGTTCCTGCAGATGAATGGTTCTCAGGTGTGTGGTTCTGTATGACGTTCCAGCAGATGAATGGTTCTCAGGTGTGTGGTTCTGTATGACGTTCCAGCAGATGAGTGATTCTCAGGTGTGTGGTTCTGTATGCTACGTTCCTACAGATGAATGGTTCTTGGGTGTGTGGTTCTGTATGACGTTCCTGCAGATGAATGGTTCTCAGGTGTGTGGTTCTGTACGACGTTCCAGCAGATGAATGATTCTCAGGTGTGTGGTTCTGTACTACGTTCCAGCAGATGAATGGTTCTTGGGTGTGTGGTTCTGTATGACGTTCCAGCAGATGAATGGTTCTCGGGTGTGTGGTTCTGTACGACGTTCCAGCAGATGAATGGTTCTCAGGTGTGTGGTTCTGTACGACGTTCCAGCAGATGAGTGATTCTCAGGTGTGTGGTTCTGTACTACGTTCCAGCAGATGAATGGTTCTTGGGTGTGTGGTTCTGTACTATGTTCCAGCAGATAAATGGTTCTTGGGTGTGTGGTTCTGTACGACGTTCCAGCAGATGAGTGATTCTTGGGTGTGTGGTTCTGTATGACGTTCCTGCAGATGAATGGTTCTCGGGTGTGTGGTTCTGTACGACGTTCCAGCAGATGAATGGTTCTCAGGTGTGTGGTTCTGTATGACGTTCCAGCAGATGAATGGTTCTTGGGTGTGTGGTTCTGTATGACGTTCCTGCAGATGAATGGTTCTTGGGTGTGTGTTTCTGTATGACGTTCAACAGATGAATGGTTCTTGGGTGTGTGGTTCTGTATGACGTTCCAGCAGATGAATGGTTCTTGGGTGTGTGTTTCTGTATGGCGTTCCAGCAGATGAATGGTTCTCAGGTGTGTGGTTCTGTATGACGTTCCAGCAGATGAATGGTTCTCAGGTGTGTGGTTCTGTATGACGTTCCAGCAGATGAATGGTTCTTGGGTGTGTGGTTCTGTATGACGTTCCAGCAGATGAATGGTTCTCGGGTGTGTGGTTCTGTATGACGTTCCAGCAGATGAATGGTTCTCAGGTGTGTGGTTCTGTACGACGTTCCAGCAGATGAGTGATTCTCAGGTGTGTGGTTCTGTACTACGTTCCAGCAGATGAATGGTTCTTGGGTGTGTGGTTCTGTACTACGTTCCAGCAGATAAATGGTTCTTGGGTGTGTGGTTCTGTATGACGTTCCAGCAGATGAGTGATTCTCAGGTGTGTGGTTCTGTACTACGTTCCAGCAGATGAATGGTTCTCAGGTGTGTGGTTCTGTACGACGTTCCAGCAGATGAGTGATTCTTGGGTGTGTGGTTCTGTATGACGTTCCTGCAGATGAATGGTTCTCGGGTGTGTGGTTCTGTACGACGTTCCAGCAGATGAATGGTTCTCAGGTGTGTGGTTCTGTATGACGTTCCAGCAGATGAATGGTTCTTGGGTGTGTGGTTCTGTATGACGTTCCTGCAGATGAATGGTTCTTGGGTGTGTGTTTCTGTATGACGTTCCAGCAGATGAATGGTTCTTGGGTGTGTGGTTCTGTACGACGTTCCAGCAGATGAATGGTTCTTGGGTGTGTGTTTCTGTATGACGTTCCAGCAGATGAATGGTTCTCAGGTGTGTGGTTCTGTACGACGTTCTAGCAGATGAATGGTTCTCAGGTGTGTGGTTCTGTATGACGTTCCAGCAGATGAATGGTTCTCAGGTGTGTGGTTCTGTATGACGTTCTAGCAGATGAATGGTTCTCAGGTGTGTGGTTCTGTATGACGGCTGTGTAATCTGTAGAAAATGGGTTAGTCTAAGTATTTGGATTACTGTATGTTGGATTGAGATTCTCTGTGTTATTTCAGCACCACTTTCATCCAGTTGTCCGTCAGTACACAGCTCACATCAGTCGGATGGCGCCGTCTACTGGGGAGGGACAGCTGGCACAGAATCTGGCCAGAGTGTAAGTGTTAAGATGAGATGGTGATGTCACTGTAAAACTTCCAGTCTAGGCAGCTGTTATTGCAGACTCCTCAGTTAGATGAGAATGAAAATCGAGTGATACGTTGACAGGGGTTATAATAGTACTTTGAGCTGATAAAAGTTTAAACTCATCAGACATGTATTGACTCGTAATGGTATTATATGTTTGTATCCAACAGTGAGAATATGTACATAAATGGTAATAATCATTAGGAGACACAGAAACTGAAAATGTAGATAAAGATAGATGTCTCTTCCTGATAATAATTGTGACCAGTTAAAAAGGTCCGGCGAAGTTGACGAGACATTGACAATAGACTATACTGTGTCTCCAGAGCCCCGAAGGACCTGTATAGGAGGTACGACCTGACACAACACATCCTTGACACATCTATACCTGCACAAGTGAAAACAAAAAAGAAAAAGGTTGGTAGTTAATAAAAAGATTGGTCATCATTTAATGGTAATGAATTTCCTCTGTGCCACTGTGCTGGAATATTGCTGACTCTTGCAGGACACAATGTATTTCGGACAATTGGCTGACAATTTTATTCTTTTACACAACACACATATTTCCAGCAAACAGTTTTGTTCTGAGGCAAAATAACCTTTTCCAGTATTTTAGGAAACAAATATCATCCCGCATGTCAGTCCTGTGTAATTATGCGGTGATAGAAGAATGTAAATATAGTGCCAATTTGCTAATAAGGATTCTGCGTATCCCATGCTTGTAACAGATGACTTAAAGAAGATTGCTTGGTGAGTCTCTATTTTCAATCAATTCCATTTTTGCAAGTAACTGAAAACACCTGAAGTTTCAATTTCAATGAGGATTTGTGACATTTGTATCATTCATTATCGCTGAAACACTGCTGAAGTGACTATAAATCTTAACTTACTCACTCACTCACCAAAGCATGTACTTATAAGTTTTAACAAGCTATTCTACAAGAAGTTTGAAACATGGGAGATTTTTTTCAAATAGCTGTTGCTTTTAGTTCCAGTCAGCACGGTTGCATAGCGAGGAGTTGCAGAGCTACATGGAGAACCAGAGTGCCTCTGTCCCAGACCTGCCCGGGGAAGATGTGGACATCGGATGACACGTCCCTTGTACCTATTGTAAATAAACCTTAACATGTCAGGATGTGTCTGTTGTGTAAACCTGAAATAAGTGATGGGCTACCCAGATATGCAGGACCCTGGTATAGACACCAGTGAAATAGTACAGAATGGTAATTGAAATGATACTCAAATCAGTAACAAAACATGCTGAATAGGAAACATTGTTGTTATTATACCCCCGCTACGAAGTAACGGGGGTATATAGCGTTCATTCTGTCCGTCCGTCCGTCCCGAAACTTTGTCCGAAGCATATCTCTTAAAGTTTACATGCTAGGTTCACCAAACTTCACACACATAGTAATCATTACCCATTGATGTGCCTTTTGCTATTTTAAAGTTTTTTCAGAATTTAGTTTTTTTGCTGTTTCCATGGAAACATGATTTAGGCTGTGACTATGAGGATGTCATCTTGTCCGGAGCAGATCTTCCAAACTATACATGCTAGCTTCATCAAACTTGGTACACATATCAAGCATGATCCCTAGATGTGCCTTTTGGGGTTTAGATCCAGATATGAATTGTATTTTTTGCTGTTTCCATGGAAACACGACTTAGTGCCAAATGTGTTTGATTATTTTGCCCAGAGCATATCTCTTAAAGTTTACATGCTAGGTTCACCAAACTTCACACACATGTTAATCATTACCCATTGATGTGCCTTTGCTATTTTAAAGTTTTTCAGAATTTAGTTTTTGCTGTTTCCATGGAAACACGACTTAGGCTGTGACTATGAGGATGTCATCTTGTCGGAGCAGATCTTCCAAACTATACATGCTAGCTTCATCAAACTTGGTACACATATCAAGCATGATCCCTAGATGTGCCTTTTGGGGGTAGATCAGATATGAATTGTATTTTTGCTGTTTCCATGGAAACATGACTTAGTGCCAAATATGTTCGATTATTTTGTCCAGAGCATATCTCTTAAAGTTTACATGCTAGGTTCACCAAACTTCACACACATGTTAATCATTACCCATTGATGTGCCTTTTGCTATTTTAAAGTTTTTCAGAATTTAGTTTTTGCTGTTTCCATGGAAACCACGACTTAGGCTGTGACTATGAGGATGTCATCTTGTCCGAGCAGATCTTCCAAACTATACATGCTAGCTTCATCAAACTTGGTACACATATCAAGCATGATCCCTAGATGTGCCTTTTGGGGTTTACATCCAGATATGAATTGTATTTTTGCTGTTTCAATGGAAACATGACTTAGTGCCAAATGTGTTTGATTATTTTGTCCAGAGCATATCTCTTAAAAGTTTACATGCTAGGTTCATGCTAGGTAAATGCAAAATGTATTTGATGGTGACCTGACCACGGCATATCATCGTAACTATACATGCTAGGTTCACCAAACTTAATACACAAGTTAATCATGACCCACAGATATGCCATGTGCTAAAAATAGCAATCTTCATCTCTCGTCCATTGTGTGCAACATGACACACTCAAGTTCAATTACATGTCAGGTTTCCACGGAAAACACAAAAAAATCTAGTTTCCATAAATTATTACCGTAATCAGTACATGCCAAAACTATTATCTAACATTTATATAAAGTTTAGTAGAGTCAAAGAGAAAGTCTGGTGAGCTGCTGATCCTTGTCACATTATATATATCAATATCAGTCATTTCCATGTCCCAAAGTGGGAAGCGGGGGTATGTGAGCTTTGCTCACTTCTACACTTGTTTTGATTTCTTAGCAGTATTTGGCAGGACAAAACCATTTGACCAAATTTATTTGTTTCAAGCATGTACCCTGGGTGTAGTAAACCAAGTCCTAGACTTAATATATTGGGGTTCCAGACCAAAACACTGTCAGTGTAACCATAGTTACCAACTATGCCTCTGGGGGGTGAGGCACACGTGATCTGACAATAGATTAGGCATAGTGTATTTCTTGTTTAAAACAAAACTTAGTGGTTGACTGAAGCAAACTGGAAACAGAAATCTGACCTTGTGTCAATACATATCGGTAGTGTAGTGCATATCATTTGTTATCATTGGTCACGCTTGTAAATGGCTTGCCCTATGTTGGCTGAGATAAACAAAACTGGTCAATAAATTCGGCATGACTACAGTATCCCTGCTTACCTGAGAAGCCAAGCAGCACCACATGAAACAGACAGATACAATTACAGTGTTGGGTTTTATGCTGCTTTGAAGAGAATTCCAGTTTTATCACCCTATGATTACACAATGCCATTATAAAGTGAAGTACAAATTAGGTGCCAATTAACATTTATCAGAGGGGTACACAACGTCTGCAGACTACCAGTTGTCTGACTTCCTTTTTATCCCTCCGGCATGTAATGTGGGGGGATATAGTCGTCGCCTCATCCGTAATCATGTTGTTTCCAGAGCATAACTCAAAAACGGTTCAATATTTTTCAACAAAAATTGGTAGATATATCAAACAGAACCTAAGGTGGTGCCTTTTGCTATTTACAGATTTTTGTCCTTTTTATTTTTCTCGGTTTCCATGGAAATGATTCAGACTTAGTCCCAAAAGGGAGGGGTGGGTTTCGTTTCCGGAGCACAACTCAAAAACTTCTTAATATCTTTCAGCAACCTTGGCAGATATGAGGCAGATCCCAAAGTGGAGCCTTTTGCTATTTGCAGATTTTTGTCATTTTTATTTTTCTCAGTTTCCATGGAAACGATTCGGACTTAGTCCCAAAAGGGAGGGGTGGGTTTCATTTCCGGAGCACAACTCAAAAACTTCTTAATATCTTTCAGTAAAACTTGGCAGATATGTGAGGCAGATCTTGAAGTGGTGCCTTTTGCTATTTGCAGATTTTTGTCATTTATTTTTTTCATGATTTCCATGGAATGATGTGCACTTAGTCTTAAATTAAGCTGGACTTTAAGTAACTGTCAGATGATTTGTTCTTTCAAAGATGTGGGGGCCGGGGGGATATGTCATCTTCTGATGACTCTTGTTTGTGGAAGTCATGGTGGCTGACTGTGTGCTGGTGATTAGGTGCCTGAAACTGACGGTGTGGGTTCGAATCCCGGATGGGGCTCAACTCCAAAAAAGTTCTAGAATTTGTACTTTACTAAGAAAGTGTAATCCCAAATATAACATGTTACATTTATCACCCTGTGTTCGTTTGATGTGGGGGAAAGCTTAAATTGATTCAGGTCTCAGACCACTGACCAACCTACAACCACATGGGTGATCTGTACCCATGGTCTCTGGTGTGTTCAAGGGATACAACTCTGCACAGAGAATTGTTCCCCAATGACTGGGCAATCAGTTCCACTGCAGATCTATTGAAGCTGTTAATCATGAAGTACTGGCAAACAAAGATAAGTTGAGCACTGACCTGACAATTTACCTGTATTAGCATGTATGAGTGCCGCCCATTGGGGCTTGCCATTATTAGCAAAGGGGCCCCAGTTTGTCCGCGATCAAGTGTAGAGCAACTTGTTACACCGGCGTGAGAGTTATGAGCAAGGTGTGTCCAGCTAATTGATGAATCAATTTCATCGTCATGCAATGCATGTGCACTAAAGTACTGTTGGAAATAGAAAAAAAACTGTTTTTAGGCTGTTACTCTGTATCCCTAAAATTGACAAATTTTCGAATAGCATATATCGAAATAACCCACATCGGGCCAAACTGGGCATTCAGTGGGATGCGTAATAGGATATCCAGAAAAGCTTGTTTACTCGTAAAATCGGGCAAAACTTAAAAATACGAATAGCTGCTCAAAACAATAGATCGGACTATAGATGGCAATTAGGTCGCTCGGCCAGGTATGACGACAGACCGTTGACTCACCCGGCATGAAATGCATGTCCTGCCTACAAGCACAATGGGTCATCTCAAAGATATTTTATGCATTTTTATGTGTGTTGAATATGTCTCATCTACTGATCATAAAGTTTATGTTGAGATACGTAAAAGGGTATGACACCCATGGAAAAGCCTAAATCAGCCATCATATTAAATGTCTCAAAATATATAGGTGGCATGACCACCAGAAGATCGAGAGGACTGGATATTATTTGTTTATTGTTATGACATGCTGTTTGCTTCCCAGTTTAATTCCCCTAAAGGATTATCTTATTATCCCCCGCCGCACGTTTAGTGCGAAGCGGGGGATATAGTATTAGGCCCCTGTCCGTCCGTACGAATTGGAATATCTCTAGATTCTTTTCATATTTGGTACCTAGGTTCATCACATTATAAGAAAGCTTTTTCTAGGGAAGGTGCAGGTGTCAAATATGAAGAAACTCCAGTGAATGGTTCTTGAGGTATATCGCTGACAAGCATAACTTGCAGGTTAATATGCTGAAATCTTCAAAGTGTCTCTGTGACCTTGAACATTAAGTGAAGGTCACCAAAATGGACTGGGCCCTGCTGCCTTCCCTAGATAAAACTTGGTGTTAAATATGAAGATATAGCTTAACATGCAGGTAAAATGTTAAAGTCCCCTTGTAACCTTGAAATGAAGGTCAAGGTCACCAAACCTGAGTTGGACGTTTCTTATACTGTGATGAAACTAGATACCAAATATGAAAAGAATCTAGAGAACGATTCTTAAGATATTCCAATTCATAAGGACGGACGCAGCCTAATACTATATCCCCCGCTAATAATTGCAACAATACCAAATTTTGCACAGTCACAGGCAATCAACAAGTGTGTGTAGAGAAATTGCAATTTCACACGTGCAACTCACACACCTGGCTGTTCTACCAGCAAGTGGTCCCCCCCTCGTAAAAAAAGCGAAAAGTGACTACAAAAAAATGATTGTGAAACAACTTTTTTATTCGGGTGTCCAAAATTATGAGACAAATCTTCAGAGTTGGTCTGTTGATTTCATGTGACTGCAAAATTTGGTTTTGCTGCGATTCTTAGATTTTGTGTCAGTGAGCGATTCATCGGCCTCAAATGAAAACAAACGGACTATAGCATGGACTGGTGACAGATCCTGTTCCACCAAATATAAACAAGGGTTGACATCCATAATTTTTCCCCTTTATGTGTATCACTTCCTAATACCATTGAGAACTTGACATGTCTCTAATCAGTTGCCCATGTGACCTAACATGTGATATCTACCTGAAATCAATTCCTTCAGGTTTTCCATTTACTGTGAGAAAAACAACAATAGATATAAGAATTTGTTTTACTGACATGAACACATTTACACATTCACACTAAGCCACACACAAATTTCTTCTATTCCTTTTCACTTAAAGGCTCTTGTTTCTTAACACCAATCTCTCTCGCCATCTCTAGAACTCTCTCTGTGGCTGTGGGTGCACTGATGGCCTTTGACAGTTCTTTGTCCGGAAACTCCGCCACGTTCCAGCTTGTGTCTCTGTTTGTGAAAGGGGACCACACGCCCTGAATTGAGGGGGTTTCTGTGTGCCACTGTTTTCGCTCGTACAATCTGTGCACCTGACCTTGTTCTAAAATGTTCAACCCACTTGCAGATGTCATCTTCCGGCATGTTGCGGATGTTGAGAGTTTCTGTCCTCCCATTCACTGAAACATGAAGGGAAGTTACCAAGGTTACCTGTAAGCTTAAGTGAATGAGTCAGTATGACCAGTATTTCTGTTACTGGAAGTCAAGCAGTTCAAGTACTCTTTTACTTAGTATTAGTTTTGTTTCAGTAAGCAGTGGATTGCCTCTGTTCACCCAGCAGAAAGTGGGTACCCGGTTGGATAAAGTCATGTGACTATAACATTCTAGCGCCTAACAGGCAGCTTGGGTTATACGGGGTAATAATAATCAAATTCTGATTACACCGTCCAGTGAGCAAGTAGTCAGATGGATACTAGGCTCTATATAAATGAATTATTATTATTATTTATTATTATTATCCCTATAACATCAGCAGATCCTTTGAACCCAACTCTGGACCTCCTTGGTTTACTCTTGCCTGCAATGGATAGTGTTTGTTGTTTGAACACAAGACGCAGCAATATTCCAGCCATATGACAGTTTTCTGTAAATAATTTAGTTTGCATAAGATTGACATAATGAGCATCTATCTATGTAGAACTTAGGATATGATGACATGCATCAACCAAGTCAGCCAGCATTATGGATAGATCTTGTTCTAGACACCTGTTGAAAATCAGAAGCCAATCTCAACTGAAAACACTACACAAGAATATTCAATGAGAAACACTTACTTCAATGATTCATCAGACAAACTACATCCCAAGTAACATAACACTTGATATGAACAAGTGAGTACATTGAATCCATGTAGGAAATCAAACTCGGGCTTTCGGCATCGCGAGCAAACGCTCTAACCACTAGGCTACCCCACTGCTCACACTTGATATCAAGCATTCTGATCATTATATGTGTCTAGCATTGTTAGCATCCACAGAGGACATGTTACTGGGCAAACTGAACTTACAGTATTCTGCTACAAGTCTTGGGTTTCTATGACGCCTTGGCTTCATATACACTACAATTCCTGGGTTCTTTCTTGTAAATTCTAACATGTGATTTTCCACAAAATCTCTGAAAGTAACAAAAATTGACATCATTAAACCATGTAGCATGATGAACACAATGCAAGTTATTAGTGAGCGAGTTTAATTTTATGCCGCTTTTAACAATATTCGAGCAATATCGTGGTGGGAGACACCAGAAATGGGCATCACACATTGTACCCATGTAGGGATTCGAACCGAGGTTCGGCATAACGAGGGAATGCTTTAACCACTAGGCAACATCACTGGCCCTGCAAGTTATCACGTGCCTAAGGTGAACAGTAGTGAGTGAGTGAGTCTAGTTTTACGCCGCTCTCAGCAATATGGTGGCAAGGTGAACAGTAATTCCAATACAGAAGATATTAAAAAGAATCAACCACTAAACAAACTAGAACGATGTTTGTATGGATAGAACTAAGCAAAAAGAGTTACACGCCCGTGCAAAGAAAAAAATGCCCTTGTAATGTTAGAACATATTGTTCAAGCCGACAGGAATTTGTACTAGCCCCAGGCAAGCGCACTAGACTTAAGTCTTTACACTTTTTTCCTCAACTATCTGCAGAAAAAAACAATTCAATATGAATCAATTCTGTGTGACTGTCACCCTGACGAGGAAGCATCTATCTATATATGTTATCCAGAGATTCACTTGGAAAATTATAAACTAACTCAAATGAATAGAATATATATGAACCTTGCACCCCTACTGTCACCATGAGACTTGCAAAACGATACGGTCAATCTTTGCAGCTGACAAACATATCGTCCTATGCCATTCTGTAATACATTCTTGACAAAATCACTTGGAATACTTCTCCCTGTCATTTTGCCATGTGGTGACCTTTCCAGACAATGCGACCTTGACCCCACTAATATTGTATCAATCCGCAGGTACTATACCTTTCAGCTAAGCTTAAAGTTAAAAATCATTACATTATCAATAAGACTCATGCCTTCGTCTACTCTATACATAACTACTGCACATACTATCGTAAATACAAAGCCGAATGTGATCCCCAATGGACTATATTGTGTGAAGCAGGTGCTTGATCTCATTTCCGGTTGCAGTGTGGTCGTTTCCTGCTGCTACGACAACACCTAGTTCTGTCAGATCAGAGATGTAACTTGATCCCAGTCAATAAACACTGAACAGTGTCCGCTCATCCACCATGGATAGGGAAGACTGTCACCGAAAGCATGCAGACAAGTCCGACAAACTGGACGACAAATTTAGTATCGTCTGCGGCGACCTGGGATTGGGAGAGGGACTGAAACCGGGCGGGATACTTCAAGGTTTGAATTTGCCTGAATTCCCAGACGGTGCGAGCAATGTAACGCCGCCCCACAATGAAAGTACTGTCACTAGGAGGAATAGTCAACCGTGCCATGTCAACGGCAGTGATTCTGTGTCCAGACAAACTCCTGAAAGGCGAAAGTCACTCGTGTTCAAATCAAAAACCAGAGGCAGATCAGCTGATTCAAATGACACATCTCCCTCTGGATCTGAACATTTTCCTACATATGCAGATATACCTTTGGGAACGTCGCTTCGTCAACAGAGGAAGTTGTTTGAACAAAATCTGGGATCCCTTCGTAAAAGACACGACATGTCTACCTCTGAAGAACTATCAGTGAATTCAGCTGATGGTTTGTAACTTGTATTAATTTGGATAGCACGTGAACAAAACGATATCTCTCATAGTGCTGTAGTAATTCTGTGACAAGCCTTTGCTTGTAACTTACATCGCTTTGGCATGTTGGTCACAATGTCTGAATGATATTTTGTGTCATGGTTAAATGTTTTGTCAATATCTTTACAGAGTTGTGACAAGTAATGTTGTAGAGTATAGTAGATGGTGTGTAGAAATAAGGCATGTCAAAAAGGATTACATTGATACACTGATACACATATGCATGTATGTTTCACATGAATATGCAGTGCATGTATATATTTGCATTACACAAATTAAGTGTTATTCATATTTACAAAATTCGTTTGCATCTTTTCTGTTTTATTCAAAGGATGTATGAACCTAAATTCTTACTCAGTCAAACAACAGGATTCTGAGTTTCCAATAACTACATGTTATCAACATGTGGGAACACAGATGGTGCTGTGCAGAATCCAGTGATTGTTGGTTCATATTCTGATTTGCCCTCACCCATGCTTATTGGCATCACTTCAGACTTTACTCCTCCATTAAACTGACATGCTGGGATAGAACGGGAATATTGTTTACAATGGAGCTAACCCCTAACTCATATTTATCAACATGTCTTTGTTTATGTTTTGTATGTGATTGTTGTTTTGTAGGTGATAATAATCGTAAAAGGTTAACAAGTGTAGAAATCGAGAAAAAATTGCTGGAAGCTTTACAGGTAAATATACTTTCTTTTATTCATCATATTTATTAGTTTTATAAAACGATATTATTTTAAACACCTCACCCTGTAGTGTTCCATGTTCTCTGGGTAGAATCAGTTAAAATTTCTATGTGCTTGTCTTGAAAAGATTCAGCTAGAAGATGGGAGATACAGCTTGATCACACTGTATATGTGTCAACTGTCAGATTAGTATTATTACATAAAGAATATCTGTTAATACTGTCTGTTTTCTGGCAGCAGGGAACATTGCTGATGCAGCCAACAGTTGTGGTTAGAATTTACAGAATGCTATTGTATATCTGTGATATTGTAGACAGTGGCATATGATAAGATTCACTCTCTTGTTTGTAATGTGTAAAGACAATATCTTTAGGTGCATGTTAAAATTGTTTTGCAATTTGTTTTAGTCATAATAATTGCTGCTTATATTAGTGAGCTCAGATGTTTCAATCCTTTGAGTTTCTGCTGAATGCAGGTCATTTAGCTGTGATAAAACCTGAATACTGCTGACATTTTAGCTGTTCATGAATGATGTTTCATAGTAACAGGACATTGGGTCCTGAATGTTACAGATGTCTGTCTGACCCACTGAAAATTCACAGGACCAATAGAATAGAAATTAAACACATATCAGATTTGACATTTCTTATAATTGGCATTGAAATTATGAACAAACATAAAATTTATAAACAGCAAACAAGTGTCACATTTCACATATTACAACTTCAGTCTAAGTCACTGTGAAATATACAGTTGGACACTGGGGCCGGTGGGTTGTAGACTTCTATCAGACCATCTGCGAATCTGTTGGATTTGTCCGAGAGTCCAATGCTATTCGTGAACACTTGACATTTCCATGACATTACTCACTTATATACTGGATTCAACTGCTCTTTTACTTTCACTGTTTGAGCAATGTTCAGACTTGTGGACAGGTTAGTAATAAAATTAATCAATTGTTGTGTAAGGCATGAATTTTTTGTTTCAAGGAAGTAGAGGAGTTGAAAATAGAGCTGGACACATGTCAAAAACGTCTGGATGCAAAATACATGGCCATTGCTATCTTAAAGCGGCAGGTAAGTTATCTTTGACACTAATCATTCTATGATGCCTTTAGACTTTCAAAATGCTTAAGTTTCACTGTTCTGTATTCACCGCCTTGTGAAATGCTGTTATCAGGGTTAATAGGTGAGAGTGTTTTCAGACTTGTGTGCTAAACAAACTCAAAAATAGAAAATTTGGAAATAGGCTATTCTATATTCTACTGACTATAAACTTACATTTCACCATAAATGTGTGTTTTGAAAGTTAAACTACAGGACAATCGGTTATATAATGAGGCAAGTCTAACTGATACATGGCAGTACATACAGGTTACTTTCAACTCATGTTAGTAATGGAATACAAGTAATCTGAAATGTTAATTTGATGTTCATACCAAGGAGGAATATTCACTAAAATTCTTAAAATAAGAAAACTTACTGGTCATGCTTGTCTCATGTAACATTGAGCAATGATTGTTTCTGTATTTCTGTTCTAGTAACATGACAAATATTAGTAATGTGTTTTTTCAGGCTACTTTGTGTGATGTTTTTATTACATTGTCAGGTCGCAGTACAGTAGGGGGCGGTAGGGTAGCCTAGTGGTTAAAGTGTTGGCTCGTCACGCCGAAGACCTGGGTTCGATTCCCCACATGGGCACAATGTGTTAAGCCCATTTCTGGTGTCCCCCGCCGTGATATTGCTGGAATATTGCTAAAAGCGGCGTAAAACTAAACTCAGTCAGTCAGTACAGTAGATATGCTAAAACAGATCTTTTAGAATTCACAGGAATTGACAGAAGGATATAAAAAACGGCATGAATAATTTATTAGGCTATTCCGCAATTAGGATCTTTTTCACATTATTTATGTAGGTGTTTGAATGCATGGCTCATTTTGCAGAGTTAAAACAACAGCATCATTAATAAGCATGCAAATCAACAAATCTATAATGCATCTCAGCATTATCAGTATGATTCATTGCTTGAAAATTTAACATGAAAAGCTAGCAGTCCCTTTCATTGCATTGTTATAGGTTATCGTTTTGGGGCCTTTAGATTCAAGTACTACTGTAGTGTACTGCAAGGAATTCTTCATATTAGTAGATACAGAGCACATAGTTATTGTAGAAGTGGATTGTGAATGTTAGAACTAGAAGTCCACACAATAACAAGACGTGATACAAGTCAAGTTCAGGTGATTCCTGTCTGCTTTATGTCAAGCAATGTAATGAGGTTATGGTAATGTGCAACTCATGGAAGTCAAACGAGCCCAACACTCGGCACCGTGTCCTGATGCTGCTTGTACTTGTCCTGTCCATGTCAGGGCTCGATCATGTTTGGTCAGGGCTCGATTTAAAGAAACCTTGTTGCACCCAGTGCAACCTTAGGTAGAAACCTTGTTGCATCAGACAAAAACAGGTTGCACCTGCTGCTCAATATAAAATCTTGTATAAAATATTGAGTTTTGGTAATGATAGTTTAGAACATTATAACAAAAGAAATCTGGGACTGATAAGATTAGTTATCTCACTTCCTGAAATTTCATGAACAGTAAGTCCTTCAGTCACTGCTCATACAGTCATCAGAGTCACTCTTCCAAGTCAGTTCCTCATCATTCTGTTTTCCAGCTGAAGTCTCAAACATTGACTTGCACCTGGTGCAAGTTAGACTTATAACTAGGTTGCACTTTGTGATATTGGGTTGCACCAGTGCAAGTAACAGAGCACTTAATTGAGCCCTGCAGGTGCATTCAGATTGTTATACAAGTGCAGTATACTTAATCCCATTTCAGTCTGGGTTTTCAACTACTTGTCTGAAGCACTAGTCTAGCCCTAGTCTAGTAAAATTCTCTTCACTCTAGTGTCTGTAATCCAGGCCCATGTTGGCCCATCTGATGACACTAAAATATACTGGCGATGGTGTTAGGAGTTATATTCAGGTTTTTTTGCACAGACTCCCTCGTCTGATACTGAAGCAGTGTTTTGAGCAGATTGCTGCAAGACTGTTTGTTGATTTGGCAGTTGAGATCTGAGGGCTCATTGGCCAGAGCAGCTATTGATGCCTTCCTCACTTGGACCATATCATGGCTTGAAGTGGTTAAACATTGCAACAGCATTGCGAAGTGTACACGTTTTAAAATGGGAGGGTATTCACCCGTTTATGTTGATGGCTTACATTTCCCCTGCTGTTGTAATAATCAGCACTTTATGGATTTTCTTATCAAATGTGTTCAGTGGTTTGTCTAACCAGAAGTTTCCCTGAAAGTAGGGTTGTCATAGTTATTGGATTGGTGGAGTATGACAAACAAGACTTCATGTTTTAAAGGGCGTGGGTAGCCTAATGGTTAAAGCGTTGGCTCGTCACGTCGAAGACCCTGGTTCGATTCCCCACATGGGCACAATGTGTGAAGCCCATTTCTGGTGTCCCCCCCCGTTGATATTGCTGGAATATTGCTAAAAGCGGCGTAAAACCAAACTCAGTCAGTCAGTCAGTCATGTTTTAAATTTATTTGTTTCCCTTGTGTATTTGTATCTATTTCTGTCTCCATTCTGCGAAACATGTCAGTCAATTACCGATATTTTTATTGTTGTAAATGGGTGATGGAGATAGTTGATCAGTCATACAAGTTACATAATTTCTATGTTTGGCAGTTGAGCTTGTGACATGAACAGGAAATAGCCTATTGTTTTATGCATGCAACAAGTTGAATTTAGTCCAGGGTACTTGGTGAAGATCTTGACAACAGTTAACCTGTGAAGATCCAGATTAGAATTGGTTGTCAGTAACCCATGCTTGTCGTAAGAGGCAACTAACAGGATCGGGTGGTCAGGCTCGCTGACTTGGTTGACACATGTCATCGTATAGTTGTGTAGATTGATGCTCATGATGTCAGGCACTGGATTGTCTGGTCCAGACTCAATTATTTACAGACCACTACCATATAGCTGGAATATTGCTGAGTGCGTCGTTGAACAAAAACAAACAAACAAACCCCTGTGTGATGAAAGTATCCTGTAAAATCTTTCATGCAGGATAATTATTGTCAACAATAAATGTTTGCCCTCGTTTTCAGTAGCCTACATTTTGATAATTAGTTCCTGTTATTTGGAAATTTCCTCATTCTAGTCCTTCAGAGAGCAGGTAATATGACCTTAATTTTAAATCACGGTGTTGATATCACCTTTGTGCATGTGTTTCACGGTTTATGATTTTTCTCTTGAATTTGCCACATCACATCTCACCTGTTGCCATGACCCTGAATTAACATTTGCACTCACCACAGTTGATTTCCCTTGTGTTAGCACACTGATTTGGGATACCTTAGTAATAACTGGGATATGGAGGTCAGAGCATCCCAGGCTGGAGGCTGAACAGGATCTGTGATTGGTTCATTTTCTAGGACATTGACTTATCATCTTGAAGATTATTTCAAAATATGCTATTATCAATGCTAACAAAATAAGGTTTTACAACACAGAATTCTTTCATATTTCTAAATCAATCTTGGGGTGGTAAAGCCCAGTGGTTAAAGCCTCACTCACTCACTAAATCACATGTATACAATGTGTGAAGCCCATCTCTGGTGTCCCCCACCGTGATATTGCTGGAATATTGCTAAAAGCGGCATAAAACTAAACTCACTCACTCACTAAATCAATCTGTAATGCTGTGACAAGTTAACCAAAGCATGGTTGGAAATATGCAAGAGTCGTATGTAGAGCTGGTTATCGTTACATTTTGTCAGATCGATAATCGATCGAATATAATCGTTTGGACGGTCATTTCATAGTCAAATACCTACGTTAGCGAACTAACTTCCGGGCTGTTGTCAGCATGTTGTTAACGCTAGCAAGTTACTTACATTTGCATAGTCTTCTGATTGTTATATGTTTTTGAACGGCCATTACAATTCCTGTTTATAGCGCGAAAATGCGAGAAAATCCATGAGAAGCATCCCGAATGACAACAAGGCGATCCCTGCTATCGTTCTGACATCGATATGCTACGAATCAAGTTTCCATGCATAGGCAACAGTATAAAAAGACGACAAAAGATTAATTTTAACTCAGGGATCCTTAATGGAATATCTACCTCATAATCAAATGCACAAAAATCTTAAATCTTTACTCCAAAGATGCCATTAATGTTTCGTCTGCTTAGTTGACATCCCACCTTACAAGATCACGCTACTAGTCATGTGACCTCGCTGGTAGATTTATTTTCATGGCATGCCACTTTTTGAAAAACTTTTAGTTTATGTTGAAGGGTGAACAAAGACATTTCCTTAAGGTTGAAACACAATTTATTCTGGGAAGTATTATTATTAACCACTGTAACGAAAGTTCAAGAGAATTCATGAAACTGAAAATAGCTCTATTTTACCCGCCTCCCGTAAGTCACGTGTTTGTAGGCAAATGCAACTCAAGGAATTCCCTCTTTCAGCCAATTAGAAAGTAGCTAACCTGTAATACCTGGGTCGTATTGTGACGTTTTGTTGCATGATTGGACGAATGAGTTTTTCTATAAACCACTTTACAACTCATAGTATTTCAATGACGAAATAGGACATCCCAATCTAAATATATCTAGCATTGCCATTGGGTGACAGGGGAGGCATGCGTACTTGTGTAGTACACAGCTTCCGTTTAAGTGGCAAACAAGCAATGACAACCAGAGTGTTCAGTATAAGAAAACATGACAAGGTAGAATAAAACGTTTTAATGTATGTGCATCCAAATAATGATTATTTCCGATTATCTATCTGCAGTTTATTTGTAATCGACAATCATTTATTTTGACTTAGATCGAACGATTAACCGATCCTACGATTAATCGCTCCAGCACTAGTCGTATGTTCTTTATCTCCTGAGTGATACTGAAGATCCCAACAATAGTAGATAGTTCTGAAAATGTCCCTATGAGAGCTGTATCTAACAATAACAGGTTGAGATATTTGCTTGTGTATCTTAGACAAAATCTGTTAAGATTGTTCTTGTGAACATTTTGAAAGAGAAGCTGAGATCTCGACTATGCGGTGATCCCAACAATGTATATACATGTACTTTATTACAGCTCTTTTGTCTGCGACTTAGATAATGACATTGACCACACCCATGGAAGCCAGTTGCCATTGCAAACCGTGCTAGCTGTACATAGTGACTTATTGACTGGTCACTTGCATGACTACAGGTGCTGATCTAGGGACATATCACACTCAATAATATCAGCGCCCATGAAGATCTTGGTTAGAATAGGTCTTCACCAACCCATGCATGTCGTAAGAGGCGGTTTATGGGATGGGGTGATCATGTTTGGTGACCTGGTTGAAGCATGTCATTGTATCGTGTCGATGCTCATGATGTCAGTCACTGGATTGTCAGGACTCAGCTATTTATAGAATGTTGTGATATGGCTGGCATGTGGCAGGGCATGGAGTTAAACAACAAGCATGTATCTGGTATATTGTTAAGTGGTGCATTCACAATGGTAAAACAACGAACATAATAATCTTGAATATACTGAATCTGATTCAAGGTGATGCATCCTTTTCAGGTATTATCTGTCCATTCTGGTAGATAACACCACTGGAATCTCTGTTCTTCTAAATGAAAGTGCCACCTATATTCAATTGACCCTGCAGCAATCAAATCAGAATGCAACAGTCATGCTTTAATCGTCAAGAACAACATATGTTCTGCCAGTTTTCTGATGTTAATGAAGCTTTGTTCCATCCTGTAGCTGTAGGAATATATGTAAACATGTGACCCAGTTTGCAGACTGAACCTGTGTAGAGTTCGGCACAGTGGGACTTGGTGTTGTACATCATGATCTGCCTAACTGATGCAAACCCAGCTGGGGACTTGGTGTTGTAGATCTGCCTAACTGATGCAGACCCAACTGTAGGACATGATGTTGTACATCTGCCTAACTGATGCAGACCCAACTGTGGGACTTGGTGTTGTAGATCTGCCTAACTGATGCAGACCCAACTGTGGGACGTGATGTTGAACATCTGCCTAACTGATGCAGACCCATCTGTGGGACGTGATGTTGTACATCTGTCTAACTGATGAAGACCCAACTGTGGGACTTGGTGTTGTAGATCTGCCTAACTGATGTAGACCCAACTGTGGCACTTGGTGTTGTACATCTGCCTAACTGATGCAGACCCAACTGTTTGATGTGATGTTGTATATCTGCCTAACTGATGCAGACCCAACTGTGGGACGTGATGTTGTACATCTGCCTAACTGATGCAGATCCAACTGTGGGACTTGGTGTTGTACATCTGCCTAACTGATGCAGACCCAACTGTGGGACATGATGGGACAGGATGTTGTATATCTGCCTAACTGATGCAGACCCAACTGTGGGACGTGATGTTGTACATCTGCCTAACTGATGCAGACCCATCTGTGGGACATGATGTTGTACATCTGCCTAACTGATGCAGATCCAACAAATGTAACTGATGTTGTACATCTGCCTAACTGATGCAGACCCAACTGTGGGACGTGATGTTGTACATCTGCCTAACTGATGCAGACCCATCTGTGGGACGTGATGTTGTACATCTGCCTAACTGATGCAGACCCAACTGTGGGACGTGATGTTGTATATCTGCCTAACTGATGCAGACCCAACTGTGGGACGTGATGTTGTACATCTGCCTAACTGATGCAGACCCAACTGTGGGACGTGATGTTGTACATCTGCCTAACTGATGCAGACCCAACTGTGGGACGTGATGTTGTACATCTGCCTAACTGATGCAGACCCAACTGTGGAACATGTCTGCAATAAGTGTGTTTTCCACCTGGATACATTAATCAGTGGTGTAACCCATACCATCCATCATTTGGTGGAATCCGGCTGTGTGTGTTGTTAATGTGTGTAAAACAGCACCATTGTGTGAATAATTCAACCCAAATCACCATGACCCATTTACTTGAGCGTTCCTTGCAACCTAATAGCATGACAACACTCTGTGTTACTACCCAGTGTATGAGATGCGGCTTGTGTACCCGTATTTCTTGTTGGCGTGAAAAGGTGCTACGTCTTACTGACTGGTAATTAGACACATATTTCTCTCTTGTGACATGTTAAGCTTCCAAGGCATCTCATACACAGATACAAATCTTCATCTGTCCTCTGAAACACTGTTATTTTAACAATGTCTGTCATCTGAACAACAAAGTAATGTCTTAAATACTGCAAGTTAATATTGAGTTAGGATATGATATATGGATGAACAACTTCTTTGTTGCAACTCCTATCAGGGGTGGAAATAACCCATTGCCCGACGTCCGAGTCCAGTGTTTTTTTCTGTAGGGCAAGCAAATTTGTATATCACACTGTACTGGTGTCCAGTTGACTTTCCAAAGTTAATTATGTTGTTTATTTAAAAAATCAACCAGAAGATGGCCAGTATAGTGGAAAAATTATCAGGGCAAGTGATTTTACATGTGCCACTGTACCGGAATACACCAGCAATTTTAAAGTTATTTCCACCCCTGATTATGTACAGTGAGGGGATTTAGTCTAGTGGTTAAAGCGTTATCTCCAATCCCTACATGGGTACAACGTGTGAAGCCCATTTCTGTCCCCATACATCTATTGCATAAAGCCAAACTCTCATCAGTACAATGAGGAGTGATGTTTTGATGTAGACCCTAACACCAAGCAAGCGTGATAACAGTGTTAGGATCTACTGGAAATGTTGCTCCTCGTTGTACATTTATGCTGGTCCTGAGTGATACACAAATCACCATTACCAAACCAACACAGTAATTATAACTGCATTAACAGAAACTGGGAAAAGTTTAATTTAATTTGAAATAACTTTAACTGGGGCTGAATATTGGCCTCTGAGCTGGTGGTTGTAAAGTTTGTAGGGGGTTCACATGGACTAAGCTACTGGTACACATAATCATGATAATTAATGTTATCATGCATGTGTGTCATTCTAGTGTGTGTCGTTCAGGTATGTGTCAATCCTATCTGTGTCATTTCATTTCCTTGTCTGTTATTAGTTGCAAATTGCATGGTGTGTGTTTTGGGAAATGTAGCATCACAAATCAAACATACAGCTGATTGTCCAGCAAGTTATGTTATTGAAAACCATGGCAAGTTCCATGGAA